CAAGACGCTACACTTCGTTCACTGCAACTAATGTACAAAACGACAACGTTGAGAGAATCGAATAGTAAAAATAAAGTTGACACCACAAGCCTGTCATTAAAAAGAAATCATGAAAAGTAAACAGAAGAGCACACCAATGACGTGACGACAGAAACACACTTAACGCATACAATTTTAGCGACTAATTGTCAGAAAGGCCACGAATATTTGCATATCCTCTATATCAGAGCCGCCAATTTGACAAGAAAACCTGAAGAAAAGAACTAATATGTCGTCCCAAACTGAATGAGCTGATATATTAAAGTTACAAATAACAGAAAACCTGGATGATAATCTTTCACTCTAACACCTCGGATATGTTATGAGACGAAACGAGCACACAACACAACTCCCATCCGTCAACAAAAAACATTACCCGATTTAAATCCACAGATGCGATCCTTAGGCGTCGTAAGCGTGGATCCTCAAGTCGATGGGATCCTTAGGCGTCGTACTGCGATCCTTAGGCGTCGTACTGCGATCCTCAGGCGTCGTACTGCAATCCTTAGGCGTCGTACTGCGATCCTCAGGCGTCGAACTGCGATCCTTAGGCGTCGAACTGCGATCCTTAGGCGACGTACTGCGAACAGGAACCTAGTAGTAATGATGCTAAACTCAAGCATCCATTGCCGAACTCCGTTGACGAATGTCAATTACGGCCGAAAAAAACGAGTAATTCTATAGAGTCAAATAACACTGCTAATGTCACCAGCACTTTATACAGCTGTAAATCAATTAAGGCCTACTGTTAGTTCACGTATGTCCGATAAGTTCGTAAAGCTGCTAGAAACACTCGTTAGCACTGCATACACTTAAAAAAAATAGTTTATAACTCCTTTCAGGATCCGTTAATTTATAACGTCTATGTGCGAACAGTTAAATGTATTCGTTCAAGCGATTATGAGTCAGTAGTAAGAACACTGGATAAATCAACACTGTTTATAAATCCATCAAAGGACCGGCTTGGCCATCCACTGTTGTACACTTAATTTGTTGTACACTTTGTTGTAGTACACTGTAATTTCAAGAACCAAGTATTTAGGCCTAGGGTGCCTATTCTAGTACTCCGCTGGATATCTCCTTGATGGATGTGCTACAGTGTAGTCCTGCATACTATAACTGGCCCATTTGGCCCAGCATCATCTAACACAGTTGCTATCTTTACAAGTCAACAATAACGCTTGTGACAGGCCACATAAACTTTAACTCTTTGGACAATAAGATTACAACACACCTGACAATGGCCATTCAGTCTCCAGCCAACTAACTCGCCTCATGAGCTGTCATCCCAAAACTGTTTTTTATATCCATGTGTTCACTGGCGTGTTGGTCTTCTCGTGTCTCTTCTTTGATGAACAATACACTCCACTACTTTTCGGTGTGATTTATTGTCAGGTCAAATATTTCCCAACCATTCCCACAAATTTGTTCTTTAATATTATCACTACTCACGATACTGTCAAACATCGCAATACATCAAGTATGCTGACATGTGTTTTTTTTTTTTTTTTTTTAATGAATAAGTGCATTATAAAGCAAACAACACAAATTATCCACAGTAAAAGAGAAATAACAAAAGTCTCAACATTATAAAGTGCTGCAACCAAGACTAAATATACTGATACCTGCGCCCTATAACTAATTCACGTTACCTGGACAGTAGTTTTTTATTTATTTATTTATGGTCTTCTTCATTTCTCTACTCCTGGAATGCCTCGTGCCTTCATGGGAGGAATAGATCTCTAGAACGGGCCTTTCTGTTTGCTTCGTATAAAGCACTTTTCAGTGTCTCTGAGATTTTTGAGGTCCATATTCTGCGTGGTTGACCTCTGAGTCTGTTACCGTTGTATCTGTATAATATTGCTCTCTGTGGTATCCTGTCTGTTGCCAATCTTGTTACATGGCCAAATCATTCGATTTGTTGTCTACCTATAAAGTTCAGTATTGGTTCTGTGCAGATTCTCCTCCTGATATCATTGTTCCTAAGTTCGATCTTTCCTCGTTACACCTTGCATAGTACGTAAACATCTCATTTCTGTCGTGACTATTTTCCTTCTGTATTCTGCAGACAGTGTCCATGTTTGACATTGATAGCACAGCACTGGTAAGCATATTGTATTAAACAGTGTTCTTTTAGTGTTAATATTCACATGCTTGCCTAAAACTTGATTGGCTTTATTGCATCTTTGATGGATTTCTTTATTCATTCTTCCGTCTTCTGAAAAAATGCTCCCCAGATATGTAAAATTCTTCGCCATTTATACATTTACATATTTATATATATTTTTATATATTTATTTATTTATCATTATGATGATTAGATGCGATAATTTGTCACACATCCCAGCCTTTGGTGACCTGTGTCGATTTTGTTGGTAACTTTCTTTCACGTCTTAAATCACCGAGCACCATTTCTGCGTGTCCGTGCATTCTTCTGCTAATAGTTCGTCCTGTTATAATACTCTGCGGTAGACCTCTTCTCATCAGATTACCAAGGAAGATCTGCCTGTCTTGTCATCTCATCATAATTATCATCATGATCATCATCATCATTACGATTGTCATGGGGTGTCATTAAATGTCATATAAGGCAAGCAATATATTCTTCCATTCTTTTTATCCTGTAAAATCATTTCGATGTCATGGGAATGCATTCTAGCACCTTTGGCCTCTCTCGTCGACGATCATTTCAGCATTTATTCTGAACGTCCTCGCTTGCTGTTCCTTTATTTTCCCATTATAGTGCCTGTTTGGTGATTCATTGCTCGTTTCTTCTCAGAATGTGTCCAATGTAGCGCAAGATTCTTTGTCTTATAACTGTTGATGCTAGTGGTTGCCCAGTCATTTCTCTTATTACTTCGAGGGGGCTGTGTGGTCTCGAGGCATAGTGTCCGCCTCCCGTGCTAGAGGTTCAGGATTCCATCCCCGGTAAGGGCTGGGATTTTTTCAGGTGGACTTGGACGTCTAGTAATTTTCCTTAATCTCTAGGTGGTGAGATCGGACGCCCGTGTGTATTGTTGCGCACGTAAAAAATCCACTGGCAGTTGGAAATCGAAAAGAGTAGCCTAACGGTGCTGCCGGAGCAAAATTTGGAGTCAAAAATATATCCAACGTATTTCAAGATCCTCGCCGGTGCTACAGAGCCTGTACACTGTGCTGAGCTTCTTCGGACTCTTGAGTTAGAAGAAGAACGGAGCACTTATGGGTTACTACATGTGAGCCATGATTTTGATCCGTTGTTCAATCCTCAAACTTCTTATTTCTCTAACCCTCATGAATTCATCCTATTTTATTCTCTATCATATAGTTGCGCACAATTTGCTATTTTCGTGAGTTTTCCCTATAATCATTATTACAATTTTACGACTTTCCTACCACAAACCACAAGACAGCTGTCTCCAAGCTCTTCGTAGTTTCGTCGTTCATATTCCAACATTCCCTACCTTTCAACAGGTTCGACATAGCATTTCAGTATTCTCCTTCTCACAAGCTATAAAAGTGACTAATTACGTAAAATATGTTTCATGTACATTGCGATGTTTTCTTGACCTACTCTGTTTTTAATCTATGACTACCAAATTCCATCTCATGTTATGATTGATTTCCTGCAAGCATTTAGATTTATTGATGTCTTGCAGACAGATATGCCGCTGGCAAACCGAACGACAGACACATAAACAGTCATGCAAACACGCCGATATATTACAAACACATGCTGACAGCCAGAGATTATCTTATAGTCAAGAAAATCCCTGGTAAGCGTACTTACATTGTGCTGAATGGGCTCAAAATATACTAAAACTCAACTCCCCGTGTCGGTTCGGGGAGGGGGGAGGGGGGGAAATAGATCTACTGACCCCATCCCGTCCCCCATGTAGCTAGCATTTCGTAAGATAATTAAGGCTGTTTCCTTTTAAGTTGGAGTGCTTCTGCCTGAAAGGCAAGGAACCAACAGTCTGTACTATACACAAATAAGTCTTTCTTTTAAAACGGAGGTGCACGCCACTCAAGTTCTAAAACAAAACTAAAGTTCAGAAGAGAATGACGAAACTGAGTTTTATAGCTGGTGAACGCTAAAAAGAAGAAAACTGGGCCCCCAGAAAAAGAAAAAGACCCCCCCCCCCTCCCCCATTCACACACTATTGTTTTTAGTTGCATATCCTTTACAGGACGTTGCAGAACCAACCCCAACAGCCCCTGGCTGTTGTGTGGTTTTTCTAGGCAAATTTACGTCCAGTAGATTGCCATTGCCTCTGGGCGGTCGGCTTTCTTGATACTACTGTCGAAACCAACGCAAGGCACATGGCCCGCAGCTGGGATCGAACCCGGCATCCCGGCATTACGAAGCGTTCGCATCGACTTAGCCACAGAGCCGACTCACACACTATACAACTTTTTATTCTTACTTTATCAGCCGAGTCGACTTCTGCAAAGGTTAGAGGGGTGTCGCCGTGGCTGTGTCGATGGGCGTAATTTTATGACACACGTTTACGTCCTTAGGATATCGAGGACTCACTCTATAGTGAGGCGACCTCTGTACTACAGCAAGTTGGTGATTTTAATGACCCCATAAAATCTTATGCTAGGCTTAACCTAAACCCCATTCGCGACAAACGAAACCTAGGTCCTACTAGACAGCGCATTCTACGTGTCGCTGCAAACAAGGGACTCTACCCTCTGCGATAAACTCTTACACAAAATCCTACATGGCTGTCATGTACCCACCAACAAACACTAATACTATTCACTATTCGCTCACAAAAGCCACTGTGTACCTGTCTGCACTCCAACATATACACAAGAGAGAAAACTGACACCCCTGGCACTTACACGTGACCGTGTGACAACTTAAGACGGAGTCTGACCGTCCATTCATAGTGTCCTGTCCTGCCTTCGTCATTCATAAGTGTGTATATGGGTGGAGCCAGGGCCCGAAATTGGGATAGGAACCAAAAACCGACCTAGAACCTGAGAGAATGGCTAGTGTAGGGAAAGTAAGTCCGATGTCCATTGCTATCATCTGCGCGGTGTTGCTGAGCCAGAAGTCTGTGATGACGAGCCCGTGGATCTAAGCTGTGCAAGGGCCTGTCAAGTCTCAGCTCCAGCTCATCCTCCAGACTGAGGTCATGTCCCCTTTGAGCATGGTAGTAGTACAGATGAGCGTGGCCACTGTAAGTTGAAGGGGGCAACCGAGAGAGAAAAACTGGTCGGTAGCCGGTGTAAACTGGGAGATTCAGCTTATGACGTGCGGCGGACAGTACACTCTGCGCTGCCTTAAGTGGATCAGTACTGGCATAATGGTTTCCGGACTCTTGGTCTTCAGATCTGGTAGCTTCGGATGATGATTTCTCAAAGATGTCTTTGTTATCTGCAAATTTTAGACACACAGATAAATGTTATAAGCACGTAAACGAAGGTGTGGCAATATTATTAAACATTTAATATATTTTCAAAGAAATTATTTATATATATATATATATCACCTAGTATTCTTCGTTTCACAGGGTGATTAATACCAGGGGAAGCAAATAAATAAGGCATCAAATGGTTATGGGATGGCAGGAAAATGTAGTTGGTGGTTTCTAAAAGTGTCATTGGGTGCAGCAGCAACATCAAACATCATGCCTCCGTTCGTTAGGTGGCGCTAGGTGTTGCATGCGCATTTGCAATACAAAAACAAAATCGCGATTGTACTTACGGAGTGTGTCTTAAAGAACAATATGCTGTTGTGCAGAGTTTTTTGGGGGGAGGGTCGGGGGGGGGGGTCAAAAGGACTACTTGTAAAGGACGCTCTACAATTGTTGATGAAGTCTGATCTGGTCGTCCGGTTGAGATTGTAATGGACGCATCCATGCAGCGGGTGTAGAAGATAATTAGAGATGACAGACGAGTAATGGTTGAGTTTTTAGCAGCTGCAAGGGTGCTCACATGGTTCAGCATACAACACAATGCATGATCAATTGCAATTTAAGAAAGTGTGCCTAAGGTGGGTACCCAGACAATTGACGGACGACCACAATAGGAACCGATTAGGCCTGTCATTTCAGCATCTCTGTCGATACGCAGATGAAAGAGAAAACACGCAGAGCATGATGATTACTGAGGATGAATCATGGATGCATCACTACCAGCCAGAATCAAAGCGTGCTTCAATGCGATGGAAACATCCTTCTTCGTTTTGTATTAAAAAATGCAAGGTTAAGCCATCAACAGGGAAGGTTATGCTTACAGTTTTCTGAGATTGTCAAAGTTTGCTTTTAAACAATTTCAAAATAATTTTTAAAAGAGGGTGACAATGTGAATGTTGATTCATACTGTAAAATTATATCGATGTTTCATGATGCAATTCAAAGAAAACGTCCATGGCTGCTGACTAGAGAAGTACTGCTCCTTCATGCATTGCCCGACTTAACCCCCAGAGATTTCCACCTTTTTGGTCCACTGAAAACCCACCTTGGCGGGAGACATTTCGTGAATGACGCAGAAGTTGAATGTGAAGGGGAAATGTGGTTTAGAAAACAGTTCACGCAGTTCTGTGCAGTAGGTTTTAGGAAGACTGATAAAGCGATGCGACAAGTGCATCAGTATTGGTGAAAGTTATGTTGAAAAATAAAAGGACAGTGTGTGTAAAAAAAAATAAACGGGTTTCAAGTGGTTAATATCTTTAGTTCTGGTGTTTTTTTTTTTTTTTTTTTTTTTTTTTTTGTCTAAACAAGCATTCGGGACTTACTTATTGACTTACAAATGCATTCAATTTCAAAATTGATTGACGCCCCCCCCCCATAAAACTTCGTTACGCCCCCCCCCCCCCATGTTGGATACTAATGTGCTAGAGGGAGGTATCGCTGGCCTGTGGGAGTTATACTGTTTGGCCTCTCCATAGCACAAAGTATGGGCGGTAAACCACTTGTTGCCTATGCATCTTAATCCTTATCTAGGACGTATTTCACGCTCCAAAGAAAAGGTAATTCCAATACGTTTGGAATCAAGCATGCTGCAGAAGGTGCAGAATCAGAAGAACAGTGTTCCGCCTGTCATAGCTCCCCCTCCACCATCCCCGTCCACCCAATCTTTGCCTTTCCAGACAGGCTCCTTACAACTAAGAGTCATAATGTTGGATAAGATCACATACTAACACAGACTTTCACCTGGGCGTGCTTTCTCGGCGACTTAATGAAAGGGCTCAAGAAGATCGAGAAGGGTTGCATACGAAGACAATGAGTGGAGTTCCTCAATAGATCTGGGCTGACACAAATCAGTTTCATGTGTGTTCAGTGGAACGAACTGCCAGGCTGACACAAATCAGTTTCATGTGTGATTAGTGGAACGAGCTGCCAGACTGGCAAGTGATGCTCACGTGGAAACGGACGAGCAATGGACAGGGCTGATATACTGAATGCCCTCAGAGATGCAGCTTGATAAAACGAATCAAGCAATGCTTGTCAATCTGCAACACTGACGAGCTTACACGAACATAACATAGAAAGAGGTGAAGCCAGACAAAAGCGCTATAGGGGCCTAAAGAAGAATAGTAAACCAACACAGAACTGGTGTCAAAAGCTACTACATGCTGAGAGAGATACTGAATAGTGATCCAAGCACTTATTGACTGAATTGTTCGAAGTGCGATGATGATATCTGTCGACTAACTAACTATAAGTAACTAAGTAACATACCAACAATCTATACTTCCAACGCGTACAGTTGCTTAACTCATAATCGTATAAAACAATTTTATTCAGCTGAACGCGGTTTCTGGGATTCGATCATGTTAGATTTACATCTGTAAGGTGGCTCTTTAGGTCACTGGATGTCAGCTTTTTAGGCTGCAGTCATGACGAGGAAAGTCGAAAAAAATCTCCAAAACATTCTCATCATTTCTACAACAACTACATCTCTGCTGCTTCCCACGCACTTTTTCACTAATCTTACTGTCCTTAATCAACTCCTAGACTCCAGTGTTGGCTCTATGTGGCACTTGTGAATGCCTTTTATCGTCACGTCTCATCATCAGGTGACTTGCCGACTGGCGTGGGCGATCAAGCCTCTTTACAATCAGCGATCTCCTGCAGCATGTAATCTCGTCTCACAAAGATATAATGCTCGAAATATTCTTCATTCTATAAAATGCTGCTTTTGATTGGGATATTCAACATTCAACTTTTAAAAATCCTTTGGCTTCCTTTACCCGTTGAGAACTCACCCCCCCCCCCCCCCCCCCCCAAACAACCCTCTCCAATTGTTAAGGATGCTGAGGACCAACCTCAGGACAATTTGAAAGGGGACTAAGCGGGACACTCGAACCATGTAAGTATATGTTAGTTGGGTATCCTTTACAGGACGTCTAATGATACCACTGTCGCAACCAACGCAAAGCGCATGGCCCGCAGCTGGGATCGAACCCGGCATCCCGGCATTATGAAGCGTTTGCATCGACTTAGCCACAGAGCCGACATGTAAGTATAGGAGTTCTCTTTAATAAATGCCTATGCGTTCATATTATTTCAAATATATAATTCAGCTTGCTTGCCATTCAGTCCATTTTATATACATTATTGCGCACTTAAATATGGCTTTGCCCCCTTCAGCCCCCTAAGTGCACGGTGGATATCAGAATCCCGTCGGGGTACCCCAACATTTAAACAAGTTCTGACTTACCCAGTTCCGTATTTCTCGGAGTATAGTTGTAAGAAGAGAGCTGTCGGGGTTCCACGTCTGCTAAAGGTACCGCCCTCCCGACAGAAGTCTGGTACTTCTGAAGGTCGTCCTCCTGTAATTCAGCGATGTATTTCACAGACGCTAGCTCCGTTCTCAAGCGGACACACAACTTCAGGGCACTGCTGGCAATCTTGGCTGGGGGTACTATTTCCTCATCCAAAGCTCTCTGGAGGCTTGCCCCAGATAACAGGTCAAAGTTCACAATTTCGGTGAGCTCATTTCGTTGCTCATGTGTCAGTTTATCTGCTTCTGTTAGAGACACGGTGTTAGAGTCTTTATAGTGTGTTTTAATGTATAGTTCTGTGTCATACAAGCACTAGATATTCTAAACACGATATCATCACTATCAAATGCCTTGTCGAGGGGCGTGGACAAGCATGCTTCTCCACAACCTATGATCTCCAACAGCATGTATCTGTTCATTTGCTGACACCCCCTCCATCCATGACCCAAGACCGCCAAGAATCTCCTTGCATTGTTTTCCTCTATCTCTTTTTTCCACATATGTTTCCAGTGGTCACACGATGTTCCGGTTTCTTTCTTCTCATAACATGATCAACAAATGATGACTGTCTCTTTCTGATGATCATGCTAATCTGTGTTCGGCACACTTTTTTTTCAACATATCTGGATTGCTTTTTTTTTTGGCTGTCCAGTAAATTTTACGGATTCTTCTGTAAAACCACATCTACGAAGCCTCAAAAAATATTTAAGCTTGTTTATTAATTATGCAGGATTTATAGCCATATGTTGAAATCGGTTATAGATAGCATTCAATAAATATTTTTTACGACCCTTCAATGACATGGATTTATCGGATATGATGTTTCGCGTTTTATAAAACGCAGCTTTTATTTTACGTAATCTATTATTTATCTCTGTGATACTCACTCCTTCCGGTATTGTCCATATGTCTAGATATTGAAATTTATGTACTTGTCATAAAAAACGACACTGACTTTTACTATACATTTAGGCACAATCCTTTCTTCGAGATTACAGTGATTTGTGTCTTCTTTTCTTTCATACTGAGGATATATACAGATGGTTCGGTGTTGATAGGAAAGAGAAGTGCCTGGGTGTTCGTAGCGAAAGCCAATGGAAAATCTTTAGTGCAAAACAGCTTAGCATATGACACCACAACATCTAGCATAAGAGTGGAGGTGGAGGCGGTAACTGCAGCTCTCCGGTGGCTAGAGAACAAGATGCATACACATGTCGTAATTGTAACAGACTCTGAAAGCATACTGAGAAAGGTGAAGGCAGGGATGCTTCGAGCCAGAGTGGCAAGCTACACTGGGAAGGTCACGGGTAGTGAGCATACTTTGGATCTTTTCTCCATTTCATGCCTGCGTGTTGGGTAATGAACAGGCGGACAGATTGGCTGGATTTGCACCACTGGGTGGTGAATTGATACATGACAAGGCAGATGTGGTCAAGGCCGTTCGTTAACAAGCAGAGGAAAAACACGAATTATTATGGCCTGGAGAGAATGAGGCACCTGGGTGTAACTGAGGGTCTGGCCTGTTTACTACACTTAGAGGAAAGGCAAGACGGACATATAACCAGATTGTGACCAGTACCATCAGTATTGGAACTCTGCACTGGCTGCTGAACAAGAGGATGGAGCGCGCATGAGAATGCCCGGAGTGCTGTGACGTCAATTCTTGACTCAACTCAACTCATACTGAAGCCCATTCTTTCACTTTCTTCCACAGCCTTATCTCTATAACTTCCTTTAGTTTTTTTCTGACTAGTCGCTATGAAGACGGCGACATAAGCATAACATATTTCGTTTATATTCTGACCATCAACCAGAATTCCTAGCGTAGATCTCATTATATGTTCACTGTTTAATTTTAAAACAAAATCAGGCTATAGTTTACATCAAAAACACGATAAACGCATCAATTAATTATCTTGTACTGTAGTAATTTGTCATTCTAACATTGCAGCCCCTTGGTATAACAGTTATGAGACAAAGAAGATGGCGACACACTGAGCACAACATGGGAGAGAAGAAGACAGAGAATTGAAAAACGCACTGAAATGGAAATTAAATTAAATGAGCCTGGGTATGTAGAAGTGGTTTTTGTCGATAAAGGCTTCTGCCTAAACGTCAGATTGTCCTGTGTGTGTGTTTACCCCTTCCCCCTTTCGTTGAGCTTCTTAGTCCCAGTTCAGGGGATTAATTCCTTGACACTACCTTGACTGCAGACAACACTGTTTTCGTCAGCCCATTTCCGCAGATTTTCAATTATCAGCTTTCTACGACATACTTGTTAAAGAACAGTCGGTCGATTCTGTCCCTTCACACAAAAAAGGGCCACTGAATCCATAAGGGTATTTCAATATATTCTTCTTCTTCTTCTTCTTCTTCTTCTTCTTCTTCTTCTTCTTCTTCTTCTTCTTTGTCTTCTTCTTCTTCTTCTTCTTCTTCTTCTTCCGTTTCTTTCTTCTTCGTCTTCGTCTTCTTCTTATTATTATTATTTTATTATTATTATTATTATTATTATTATTCGTCTGCTGCTGCTTCTTCTTCTTCTTCTTCTTCTTCTTCTTCTTCTTCTTCTTCTTCTTCTTCTTTTTCTTTTTCTTCTTCTTCTTTTTCTCCTCCTCCTCCTCCTCTTCCTCCCCTTTCTTCTTCTTCTTCTTCTTTTTCTTCTTCTTCTTCTTCTTCTTCTTCTTCTCCTTCTTCTTCTTCTTCTTCTTCTTCTTCTTCTTCTTCTTCTTCTTCTTCTTCTTCTTCTTCTTCCTCTTGTTCTTCTTCTACCTCTTCTTCTTCTTCTACCTCTTCTTCTTCTTCTTTTTCTTCTTCTTCTTCTTCTTCTTCTTCTTCTTCTTCTTCTTCTTCTTCTTCTTCTTCTTCTTCTTCTTCTTCTTCTTCTTCTCCTCCTCCTCCCCCTTCTTCTTCTTCTTTTTCTTAGCGAATGTTGAATGTTGAATTAAGAATCGACATCACAGCACTCGGTACACTCCCATAAGCGCCCCGTCCCCATCTTCAGCAGCAAGCGAAGAGTTAAAATTCCTATGGTACCAGTAACAGTCTGATTGTATATCCGTCTCGTCCCTCCCCCAAGTGTCGAGCGTCAGCCAGATCCCTTTGTAACTCCTCGCAGTGCCATTCTCTTCAGACCGTAATGATCTATCTGTTCCTCGGCACTGTTCACTCGCTCCCAAAGGGCCCTCACAACATCCAGCTTATCATATATCAGTTCACCAACAAGTGGTGCAGAACCGGCCAGTCTATCCGCCTGCTCATTTCCCAACACACCGGTGGGACCTGGAGAAAATATCCAAAAAATGCTAACAACCCCGAACCTCTAAAGTGATGCTTGCCACTCTGCACGGAGCTTGCCTGTCTCCACCTTTCTCAGCATGCTCTGTGAGTCAGTTACAATGACGACATGTGTGTACAGCTGATTCTCAAGCCAACGGAAGGCAGCAGTGATTGCCTCCACCTCCATTCTCAAACTAGACGTTGTGATATCATATGCCAGGCTGTGTTGCGCCAAGCGACGACCATTCGCCTTCGCTATGAACTCCCATGCACTTCGTCTGCCCTCTTTCTTAGCGTTCACCGGATATAAACTCTGGTGGAAAGTTCTGCTTGTTCGTCCAATTCTGTAAGCTCAAAAGAAACCCCAAAAAGGAACATTTGGGGATATGTAAAAGATGCTGGACTGTATTCCATCCATGACATTGAAATGATTGCCAAGGAGAGAACGGAACGGAGGATTAGACTGCGAGCCCTGTAGGACATGGAATGACACAACCGTACAAGGATGATGATAGTAAGAGCAAAATGTAGGAAGGGTTATCAGGATAAGGCTATGGCGCTAAATGTACGAGGGGTGGGGGGTGATAGGCGGAGACTGGTGTCCTTAGCCATCAGACCACCTTGGTCTCTTTCGTAGGATTGCTAGATGCTCACACAAAAAAATAACTAAAGCAAATACTCGGTTCTGTTTTGCAAACAGCTGCTGTGTTCACGTTATTGTTTTGATGATGAGTGAGGTGGTAATGTTGTTGTTGTTGATGATGATTATGATGATGATGATGACGCCGACGATGATGATAATTACGATTACAGCAACTACTACTGCTGTTACTTCTGTTTCTTTAAATCTGAGAAGTTCCTTTTTTTAGTATTTGTAGGAGGATTTTAATTATGAAAACTAAGACGATGACACGCCAACAGCTAAAAAAGAAAACATACCAGAATTCAGTACAAACTCCAGTACAGTATACAGGGAATCGTGCGACGTCCTTGTGTAGTTTTTCGTTGCCGACGCCAAAAGGCGAAATGCTTCAGCTGTCAAACTACCCTGTTTCAATTTAAAAAAAAGGAAGATCAGATGATATTTTAACAAAATAGGACAAATTTTTAGTCTTCTTAACTGGCCATATCTATAATACACATAGTCTGCATTGGTCGTAACTAGATAACAGTTCAATTTATGTATGTTATTTGCGTATGTCGGCTCTGTGGCTAAGTCGATGCGAACGCTTCGCAATGCCGGGGTGCCAGGTTCGATCCCGCGGGCGATGCGCCTTGTGTTGGTTTCGACAGTGGTATCAAGAAGCTGACCGTCCAGAAAGCAATTGCAAACCACTGGACGTAGATTTGCCTAGAGAAACCACACAACAGCCAGGGGCTGCTAGGGTTAGTTCTACAACGTCCTGTAAAAGATACGCAACTAACCTATTTGCGTATCCTTAACAGGACGTTGCAAAACCAACCACAGCTTTTGTTGGCTCTTGGTGTTTTTCTAGGCTAATTGTCTTGATAAAATATAAGTAAAGTAGTAAAGATCCCTTTTCACGCCATTGGCGCATCGGGCATATGGGAAGAGCATCCCATAATCGTGCACAATGCATGGTAGATTCGGACGCTGACCCCTCCTCATGCCTAAATTAGTTCTGCTGGCATTTCGCCACAACCTGGTGACTTTCCTTTCTACAGACTGTATTGCTGATCGTACCTTATCCAGTAAACTCTCTGGTTCTTTAACTTCACTTTCATTATTTGTCTCTAAATTATTTGTCAGATACATTATGTACAGTATTCTTTCCATCTTTCTAATATGTTTTTGGTTTCTGTAAATGTTTTACCATTTTTGTATCATTTATGACATGAAAATTTAGCCCGAATTCGCCTTTTATTGAATAAATTTCTTTAAGCATGCCTTTGTCTTTCCCTTGCATCTGGAGTTGTTCTATTTTATGGTAAGTATGCTGGCTGCGTGGATTTTTATCATGGTATGGGGAGTCGCAGGTCGACCCAGCCTAAAATGGGTACGAGGATGGCTGTCCTGGGGAAGTAAAGACGGCCGCCGTAATGCTGACCACATTATCCACCTAGTGCCGATTGGTCTATAAAAAATATGGGACGCTCTTCCCATGTGCCCGATGCGCCTAAGACGTGAAAATGGAACTTTACTTTACTTTACTTATTTATAATAAACGGGTTTTTTTTTTTTTTCACCGCTAATAGCTTTTCTGATTTCTACCATGTAGTTCCTATGTGTCATATCAAGCGCCACAACGGATTGGAAAAAAATTATAGCAGAAGGCACGGTACCAGGAAGGAGGGGCAGGGGCCGACCGACACGAAGATGGGCACAGGATATAAGTGAATCCTTGAGTATGAAAGTTCATGAGGCGGGAGAACTGGCGTGAGACCGAGTTTCTTTCAGGCAGACTGTGATGAGAGCGACGTTCTGCAAAAGACCTGCTACATGATGATGATGATGATGATGAGTTCCTTTGTGCTTAGCTTTTTGTTTCTGTCCCATTGTTTTAACTTTCTCCTCAAAGAAAAGAAAACACAATTATTTACTGATTTTGTTTTTCTTAATTTACAAAATACTCGTATGTATTTACAAAATACTGATATAGACAAAATACTTACCTCTTTCGTCTTATGCACCATGTACTTGTCCACCAGACTGCAGGCTTTCTCACTGGACATTTGTTGACCAGTGGTACACTTCTCCTCGCAAGCACCCACAATAATGTCGTGTAGAACTGATGGCGAGATCACGCAAAGATCTTTTGAGTCTAGTTGGGTCAACATATCTCCAGCCACTCGTAACAGCTTGTCCTTTGACTCACAGCTGTGCAAGGTGGCCATGCTGATCGTCTGCGATCAGTGACATAATAAATTAGCAATAATTGTCTTGATAAAATAAAAGTAAAGTAGTAAATATCCCTTTTCACGCCTTTGGCGCATCGGGCATATCGGAAGAGTATCCCATATTTTTACAGACTAATTGGCACAATGTGTGTAATATGGTCAGCATTACGCCGGCCGTCTTTACTTCCACAGGACAGCCATCCTGATATCTATTTTGGGCTGGGTCGACCTGTGACGCCCCATACAACGATACAACGAGGTTGGCCTCGATATCTTATACCAGTACTGCTCTACAAATATACTGCAAGCAAATATCTAAGGAGAATCCTATTTCGCCAAACAAGATCACACGGGAAGAAACTGAGAAGAGAAGAAAAACACAATGTTCGTCGCTGGCAAACATTATCAAAGTAAGAAGATGGAGAAGGTTTGCACATGTTTACAAAATGACTCCTGACACTGGGGAGGATAGTTTTAGAGAAAGACAGTAGACAGGGACAAGTATTAACGTAAAATGACATCGGATAAAATGGGCAGAAGAGACACAGACTGCCAGCAATGGAAATCAAGTCGTCCCCATGAGGGATACAATTTTGTTGTTATTGGAAGCCCCAACCTGGCTTCTACCGCGGGCCCTGAATATAGCGGGGCATAGATATGGCCTAGCCATAGATATGGCCTAACGGGGTTTCTGGGACCTCTCCACGGGTGATCCTCATCCGCATAGAGGCACTTTGTGTCACCGGGTGTTTATCGCTTGTGCCATGTCCTGGTGGGGTACAACTACCAACCAACCAACATGTCAATGTCTTATGTGTCAACAGCGACATGAAGAGGTTGTGGGGGGGTGAAGGAGGGAGAAATATGAAAGAACTTTAATTACGCTGCCAAATGAACAAACATACGTGTGTAACTAACGCTAGCTTAATCGTCTTTTCTGGCTAAAGAAAAGATATAAGTCCGAACGAAAAGTATAGTAGCAAGCTTCACAATATAACAAATACAAACAAAACATGAACGTTGCGGCTATTGAGCCTTCATCAGCACCCACAAAATAAACAATACTACATAGATACACGACATAGGGTTGTAAATGGCAAAAAATCAGTAATAACTGATTGCCATAATTCTTTCTAAACCTTTGATTTACTTGCCTGATTTCACCCCATTTCTTTCAGTCGTGCTATGCTGTCTTTATTGTTCTCTGACTTTCTATCCATCCGTCCGTCTACCGGTCTGTCTGTTTTCTGACTGTTTTTCTATCTGTCATATCTCTAAATGTGTTTCTCAAATGGTGAGACGGAAGTACATGCACGTTGTGTCAAAAACATGTAATTGAAATATAATATAATCTAAGCTGGACTTTCAGGATTATAGAATATTCCATCGTTCTGTCGATCCACCTACTGTAGCTTCACATACACACTCACACACCCACACAAACACACACACACACACACACATATAAATATAAATATATATATATATATATACATATATATATATATATATATATATATATATATATATACACACACACACATATTTATATGTGTGTATGAAAGTACCGTATATATATATATTTATAAATATATATGTGTGTGTGTGTATGTGTGTATGTATATATACACACACATACATACACATACGGTACCGTTTAACAGAACTATTTGAGATTCATGTCATAACCTACATGTGTGAAGGATTAATATTTTCCAACCAAATCCGGCATATCTTAGGATTTTTTCTGCTTCCTTATCTGTTTGTCAAGACTTGTCTAATCGCAGTTTCCAAAGCCGAACACGTCCTAACAATCTAGAGAAGTTTACATTCTTAGCCACTGAACGTACTATAGAGAACACACACATACACACAGAGGCCTTAAGGCAGGTCTATTCAGCTGAGCATACTCAGGGGCCAGAACGTGTAAATGGGGATGGTCACAGGCCAAAGGTCCCAGTACAAACCCGGTCTTATCACCCTCGAAAATATTGGGCTGTCCTGTGACGTCATATGTGGTCGGCTATTAGGAAAGAACCCAAAGCAATGATTCGCGGGCCACTTTCTAGACCTCTATGAGTCTGATTCAGCCCGCGGGTGTCCTGTTAAGTAGCCATACCCAAAGGACAGCACTCATTATATATAGACCAACATGTACAGCGATGTTTATATCTTACCTTCGTTAACCATTCCATAGTTACTGCGGGAATACTAAATGCTTGATCTGGAAGGGCTAAGATGACTGTGTCCAGAACTCTTTTGGGGTCATATTTTACCTTTAAAACTGTCCGTGTGTTCTGACTTACTGGAGGGGTTTCATTGTCATCGAAGTCATGGGATGCCAAAGATTCAGTGTCTGCTGTTGAATTGTTAGTATCGATGTCTTTTTCATCGTCCTGGTTGTTCAACGCATTATTACTTGGAATTTCTTCATCTTTGCGTTTTTCTTCTAGAGCAGATGAAATATATTTAACTGCCAGATTGCCCAACTCGTCTGAACTAATTCCTCTGACCCTAGCTTTCATCAGCAACTTGGCAAACCACTCAGGCCGGATGGCAAGCAAACTACGCACGGTGCCATCGTCTAGTTTGTCAATAGCTTGAATAACATTCGCTGTCCTAGTTCTTGTAAACCCAGATATAGCATCACTATTTTGCGAGGCTATGAAAAAGCTGCGCCCAATTCCAAGTGTTGAATATTTTACGGCGGGTTTAAGCCAACACTCAACAAATGCGTCTAAACATAGATCAACTATTCCTGCAGTTTCCGCCACATCTCCTACCTCATTACACTCCATCAACATCGAAACGATCAATGAAGTAAAGCGATTTATTTTAGCGGATGTGATCGTGTCTATTAGGAACTTGCTGGAGACTTCCTTCAAATTGCCTGGCCCGTACATTTTCAGATACTCCGCAGCACATCTAACTGCTACAACATTCTTTTTGTTCAAGTTAAGCGGCATGTTATAGCAGAAGTCTGCAACTTGGACAAAAGTATCGTTCCCGCCAGGGAAATCATGAAGCTCAACTTTGAAGGGTTCGGTGTCACTGTGTGGCTGTGTACGTGCTAGCTCACAAAAGTAGTCTGACCTAGCGTACAGTGGGAACTTGTGTAGTCTGTGTTCCTTGGAACCAACAAACACACTGATGTCACTGAGGTCCCCGCTTTCTCGAAACTTCGAAAAATCGGTCATCTTCTATAAAGAAACAAATTAAACAAACAAATAATTAGATAGCTGAAAAAACGGTATTCTAGAACAAGAACCTATAAGATGCAGATAAGTGAGGTTTAGTAAAGTAAATATATGGGTAGGTAAAAAGAAAGATGAGTAATTTGGCAGATAGAAACGAAGAAAAGAGGGTAAGCTTGGAGGCCGGTAGATGTGTAAATGCCAAGACAGCAAGCAGTTAATTAAGACTGTATGTAGATGTTTAGAAGCTATGTGCGTATGTAAGTTATGTAGATATAAATGTAGGCAGATATTAGGACAAGAGGCTGGAAGCCTCTTAGCCAGCAATGTAGCTAAGCAGTTGCGCTGACAAGTAAAAAAGTTATTAGGTAGGTAGTTCGGCAAACAGAAAGATAGGCAAGCGTATAGATATGAAGGTAAGCAAACAGGCGGGTAGGTATTTAGATAGGTGGATAAGCTATATAAGCAATTAGAAAGGTTGGTATGGAGTTATTTTAATAGGTAAGTATAGATCCTGTTATTTTAATAGGTAAGTATTAGAAGGTGGAAAAATGGGCCTCAGTTTGAACAATGGGAAGACATAAGTAATGGTGGTATCAAAGAAAAAAATTATTCCTAAATGTGTAATAAAAGTCAATGGGGTTATTTTAGGACAAGTACAGAAATTTAAGTATCTGGGCACATGGATAACATCAGATGGAAGATGCATAACTGAAATAAGAAACAGAATTGGACAGGCAAAAACTGCATTTTATAAAATGAAAAACATCTTGTGCAATATATCCTTGTCATTGAGAGTTAGAAAAAGAATTCTTGCTTGCTACATACATCCAGTTTTAACATATGGATGTGAATCCTGGACAATCGGTAGGCAGGCCAAACAATTTTTAGAGGCCTCAGAGATGTGGTTTTACAGAAGAATGCTTAGAATACCTTGGACAGCCAAAAAGATAAACCAAGAGATTTTGAAAGAGGCGGGAGCCCGAAGACAACTTATCACAGACATCAGAAGGAGACAGTCATCATTTTTCGGCCATGTTATGAGAAGAGGGAAAACAGAATATTTTGTGACCACTGGAAAGATCTGTGGAAAAAGGGATAGAGGAAGACAACGAGAGAAGATGCTTGACAGTCTTGTTGCATGGCATGGTGGCATGTCGGCACCCGAACTGATACATGCTGCAGGAGATCGCAGATTATGGAGAGGCATGATCGCCCACGCCAGTCGGCAAGGCACCTGATGATGCTGATGATGATAGATCCTGCAATGTACAAAAAAAGATACATCAATTTTTCAACCTAAGTTGTATGACGATGACTATAAGTAGACACAGAACATAAAAATATAGGCTAAACAAAGAACATGTAATTATTTACGTCAAGAACAGTTCTGCTGCTGTCGTTAATGCTGCTACTGGAGCTACTGTTACTACTGCTGCTATTACCACTAACTACTACTACTACTACTACTACTACTTCTACTACTACTACTACTACTACTACTACTACTACTACTACTACTACTACTACTACTACTACATATCAACAGAATATCCGTAAGAACTGTCTCACTTACTCAAATTTTTTCAGCACAGCCAAGCACACAACAACCAGTAATGGCCGCTGTTGTCAATAAACTTCAGGCTGCAAGTGTCTACAGAGGAAAGAAACCTGCAACAGATACCATAAACCTATTCTGAAAGATCTCAGCAATGTTACGTTCAGACTTGCAATCCCAGGCGCAAACCAATCAAGAAAACGATCGATACTGTTTTTCCAATACTGAAACTTTATATCGATCTACAGGTATTCAGACAAGTATATACTTGTAGTTAGCTCCTATCAGGGGCGATATCATACAGAAAAACAATGGGTGGATGGAGGAGCCTCGGCCCTCGTATAATTCTCTAGAAGGCATCAATGTGCTCCGCGTTGTTAAAGTGCACAATCATAATAATAATAAAAATTTTTGTTATTATTATTATTATAATTGGGACTCTCCGTGGTCTAGCGGCTAGACGCTCGCCTCTGGATCGGAAGGTCGTGGGTTCGGGTCCTGAAAGGTTCCGGACTTTTTTTCAAAATGACTTTGGCTCCCAGGTCGACCCAGCCTTGAGTGGGATCAGGTACAGTCCCGGGAAGTAAATGCGGTTGGCGTAATGCTGACCACATCACCAACCAAGTACAGATTTTTCAATAAATATAGGTCTTGCCCTATATGCCCAATACGCCTGAAGGCGTGGAAAAGAGTCCTTTACTTATTATTATTATTATTATTATTATTATTATTATTATTATTATTATTATTATGTGCTGATTGGTAAATAATTATGATAATACATTTGAAATATTATGAGATAAATAAACGAATCCTTAAAAGAGAACGCCTAGACATGGTGAGGGAAAAGGCATTTAGCCAAAGCAAATTTTTAAGAAGGGAGTTTGTAGATGCTCAGACCCTCAGTGCACATCTACCCCGCCCCCCCCCCCCTTTTTTTTTTCTTCTTCTCAAAGTCCATGCAGTGTGGTGTTAGTAGTCATGTCTATCCACAGCCTTCTGTCAAACTGTCAAGTATCTGTTCTCTTGGTCTGCCTCTCCTTCCCTCCAACTTTCCTACTGTCATGATGTACTTCAGTTTTCTCCTTCTCATCACATGACAAAGAATATAGTTTGTCTCTTTCTGATGTGGGCAATCAGTTCTCTTCTCTTCGTGTGTCAGTTTCTTTCAAGACGTCTTCATTACTCTTTTTATTTTGTTGAGGGTATTCTCATCATTCGTCTATAAAACCACATCTCCGCAGCTTCCAAATAAGTTTTCACTAATCTATCAACTGTCCATGATTAACTTCTATACATCAATATAGGATTTCTATAGCTTTTTAAAATTCTCTTTCTCGTCTCAAATGACAAGGAAAGATTGTATAAAATTTTCTTCATTTGGTAAAATGCTGCTTTTACTTGAGCTATTCGACATTTAACTTCTTTAATAAATTTTCAATCGGATGTTATCAGGGTACCCAAGTACTTAAACATGTCAACTTGCTAGAGGTTTGTCCCATTTACTTTGATGTCGCATTTTGGAGGGTCAGTTTTCTTTGTAATTATACTTACTTCTGTTTTCCAGCAGTTTAAACTAAGACCCTTGTTTTCACTATCTGTTACAATTATATCCATCATTTCGTGCAGTTGTGTTTCATTTTCAGCAATACCCCCTCCCCCTCCCCCCCCCCCCTCATACCACCGTAAAGCCAGTTGTTTATGTACCTCAAGGTGTCTGGACAAACCTCTAGATAACGGCGCCACTGGTCCATGTATTCCTTTGTTAGAACAATATTAAACAGGATTTTAAAGATTTTTCCTCCTCTCTACCATAAAACATTTTAACTATTGGGTATTTGGTAAGCCAATCGAGTACGGGTCGCATTATATGATTCGGCACTTAACTGTTTCATTTGAAACATGCCCCAACAAGAATCAAAGACAAATCAATGGTAGGATATCGATCGATAGTTGGAATTCTGAGTACGGTTACAATAATAAAGCAACAGAACTGTTTACTCGGAACGTCAGCTACACGAAGATGTATGTGCATTTGTTTAACGGTATAGCGAATTATTTGATGCACAGTTCAGATGTAGTCGTAGTAATTATCGTCTTCTTCTTCGCGTTCACCAGCTGTAAACTCTGGTGGAAAGTTCTGGTTGTTCATCCACTTTTGGACTGCAGTCCTGTTCCAGAACCTGAGTGTTGCGTGTGCATCCGTTTTACAGATATGACTCCTTTGTATGCAGACTGCTGGTTCCATGCCTTTCAGACAGATGCACTCCGACTTCAAAAGAAGCTCCCAATTAGTCGACTCTTACGAAATGCTTTTGAGTAGGCAGTGGGTCTGTTCTTGTTTTCCCTATAATAGGGACCTGGAACCCACACGGGAAGTAGTAATTATCTTCTAAATAATATCATGTTCAACCTTCGGAGTTATAACTGGGATATACAGTGCCCATATAGTGTCCCCTCACCCAGATTGTTTTCTTAATTATGAGATTTAAACATTCTCAGTCTGGACGGTAGACCAGCAAGACAAATCCCAGATACCCCATTCAACCTCCACAGACGTTCGGTATAATCAGGGCACCCGTAACGGCTGCACCATTTTGTTGTAACCTGCAGTCCTATGCGGGTGAGGACGTTCAGGACAATATGACATTCCTGTGCAGTACCTTTTTCATCACTGGGCAACCTCTTCCGCAGGAAGTGGCGGCAGCCAATGGGAACCGTCTGATCCTGCGCGCAGTTCAAAACGTCCCTCTTGTCAACAAATAATGTTACGAAAGGATAACAGAAACTTTTGTTTGCAGTGTGTTTAATTTTCTTTTATTGTTATTTTAACTTGATCAGAGATGGAGGGGAACACGTACGTGTTTTAATACTCTGTTGATGTGCATGTTTAATGCATGGTTAAGGATGTAGATTTGCTTTAAACAAAATAAAACAGAAGTGGGTTGACTGACGAATGACGACGATCCAGGTGAGGTCGGCAAGGTAAAAGTAAGGTTCCGTAGTGGGGAAAACAGATAAGGCGGAGTCGTTATAGGCAGGTAGTAGTCTAGCTTATGCTTATACCGACCAAGAGACCCTTTCATTTTTTCTAACCTTCGCTTCCATTGATGTTTTTGGGATACGATCTTGAAACCTGTGTGAAGTGTCTACCAGCTGACTATAGAGTATAGACTATCTATAGTCATAGTCACTATTGGAACACCAAGTTCACAAATGACAAATGTGTTGTACGTACACGGAACACTATACAAGATTAAATAAACCTAACTCAGTGTTGTTTATGAGTGGTACTCACTAAAACATTACTGCTCTGACAAGTTCACTGACTTATGCTCATTTGATTAACTTCAGTGCTTGACAACAGACACATCAATACCACTTCCTTATTTACACACACCCCTGTCTTCATTTTAAGAGGGTTCCAGCATTGAGCTGAAAACACGACCTTATATTTCGTTTTATGTACTACCTTTAACATTCTAATTCTTCTGTGTTAAAAGCCACATTTATATATTTAGTCAGAAATAATTAATAATGCTACACTACCCTGAGAGTGAAACTGAAACAGTAACTGAAAGGAGGTTTGTGTTTACTGTTTACAAATTTTGTAATTTAACTATTTCAGGAAGACATGGGGGGGGGGGGGCGTTGGAAGGCATTAATTTTGAGCTGAATTTTATTTTAAATTTTTTTTTCTACTGCAACACGACAAAGCTAAAACGTTTCTGAAGAGATAGGGTTGACTGGATGGTGACATATAAAATTTTTAATTAAAGAGAAATGAAAACAGAATATATCTAAACTATTTAAGGATTAGTATTACAACAGTAAAATATTAAAATGACCCAGCATTCAAGCATGTAAGACACACATGAAGATTTTGTACGCAGGAAATGTTGTGCTTACCTTACTTTTTTACTTGATCAAAAATGCTGTCAATTTCTAAGAACTCATGTGTCCTCTGTGCCTAATTTTGCATGAGCTAGTTGTTATTTGAGACACTTAATCTAAATACTTTGGATTTTATGATTATTTTTGAGTGACATGTCAAATTTCACAACCACTTTTCAGACTTAGCTGATTGAAAGAGGGAGGATCCAATTGAAATATTTTGTTCAACTTCATCCAAACCCATATTATCTGCAGTTGGTTTTGCACTTGCATTATTAATCATAATATCAAGACTACTGTCACTATCTTGCTCAGATTCGTCAACGACAGCAGTAGTATGAGCAGCTCTAGACCTTTTCCCAAACCGTTTAGTCTGGAACAATCACACCAGAATTGCATCACACTGATCACGCTTGGAAAACGATAATACTTTCTTTTACTAAATCTAGTTTTTTTTTTAAAAATTCATACAAATTCATTTTCCCACCAAACGAAACAATATTAAAGTTTCTTTATCAAGAGCCGATAAATCAACAAAACGGGGCAGATTGTTGCCCTGATATATCTGTGCTATGTCCTAAGAGAGTTAATACTGGCTACAAGTGTTAATGTGTCCTTGCTAGGTGCACAGTGATGCGTATGTTCTTTGAAAGTATATTCTTGAGGATCAGATTTAACGTAACACCGGTTAGTACTGGATGTCGTCATCATGTGACCACCTTCTTGATGCACACAGACAGACCCATTTTTGTGATAAAATTAAAGTATTTTTTTAAAAGTCCTCTTCAGTTACATGCAACTTTAAGTATGGTGTTGACTCATAAAAGAAGAGCTGCAGGAGTTTCAAGGAAAGACAGGATATGAAATCAGAAGAATGCTAGGAATAAAGCCAGTCTTACAGGTCATCAAAGAACAACAAATAAAGTGGTTTGGACACCTAACAAGAATGCCCTAGTGCTATCTGCCACAGCGAGCCACACTAAAACGTTACAACGGGTATAGAGCCAGTGGAAGACCTCGGAAAATATGGAGTGATGGCATTAAGAACAGCCTTACAGAAATTAACATCAGTCTTAATAGTGCTCTTGACAGAGCTCATCAACATACATTACATCTCCCCCAACACTTCGATGAGGTACAAGGTGGAAGAGAAGAAGAAGAAGAAGTTGACTTATAGAGCAAATATTCCCTTCTTAATGGGCTTTGAAAAGGACAGTTTTGCAGAACATATTATGCAGTATGTGCACACAACCCACATTGATACAGTGGTGAACTACTCATATAGAGTCTTCGTATTTGTTTAAGTTTATTATGCCCATCTTGAAATGTGGAATGATGACTTGTTCTTACCGGTCAAGTAAGTGGTAGTCATACCTGACCTGATTTTGTTTTATTCTGATAGACTGGATTTCCCTTGTTTTCTCAAAGTATGTGACTTCATTGTCTTCCGGTTCAAATTCTCCCCCTTTCTTAGCAAATTTGTCAGCAATTTCATGTCCTGATGAACCTGTTGAATGGTACCCCTAGAATGCAATGTTTATAGTTGACCTGGAAGGGAAACAATTTTAGTATACCAAATAAATACAAGTACACATGCACCAATTTTAAAAATGGGTTACCCCAGCACAATGCCCAGTTTGGACATCTCGGCCTTAGCGGATGATTTCATAATGTTAGTGCTTTGAGCTCTTTTGGACATACTGTATTAACTCTATACTATATATATATATTTACACACACACACAAATGACTTAACCACTTTGCAATGTAGTAAATTTGATGAATTTTAATTATTATAATTTTCTTACTTTCAGAAGTTCAAGCCCTTGCAGGGAGCAAACTCGGTTTGCCTGTAATAAAATCATTGATACTTCCATTCGAGCCCTCTACCAGATATGGGATAAAATGGGCATAGATGAGAGTCAGAAAAAGGCCAGGGGCGACACTGCTGTAGCACACATGAAAAACTTGATGCAGCACATGATAGCGGAGGAAGAGGCACTGATGAAGCAGGTTGCACAGACTATAGATGAATATACAGAGAAGCTGGATCTGCTGTGCAATGATCTTTCTCTTCCTCACATCAGGGTAATGATTCTTGAGTTATAGTATGTGTGTGCATGTGAGTTTGTATGTGTACATCTTATTCTTCTTCACTTCCTCTTTTACTGCTTTGCGTGTTGAGGGAGAAATAAGGTTCTGCTTCTTTCTTTTCTGGCCGCCTTGACCCTAGACTCGTGCTTTTGTAGAGTTTCCCTGATGTTATCTTTTCATCTTGTTCTTGGTCTGCTTTGTGCTCTATGTCTGTCTCTTCTTTTGGTGTATGCCTTTGGTGAATGTTGTCACAAAGTATTCTTTCTAAATAGGCAAACCATTTGATTTGCTATCTTTGTGTGTAATGTAGAATTGGTTCTGTGCCGACTTTTTCTCTTATGACGTTTCCGATTTTATCTTTTCTCGTCACACCTGCATCCCTTCTCAGACATCTCATACAGATCTATGAAACGTATGTGCGGTTTGGGCCTTTGTTTCATTAGGAGATGAAGGACTACTGTTACTTACCCTTTTTTACACAGGTAGCCCACCACAACAGGGACAATTGTTTTGCAGCCAGCCAAACATATAACCAGTCATGGAAACAAAAACACACGTAGATAACAGTCTTCTTCTTGTTTATGTTCACCGGCTCTGAACTCTGTCGAAAAGTTCTGGTTGTTCATCCACCTCTGGACTCTAGACATGTTCCAGAAGCTGAGTGTTGCATACACATCCATTTTACAGATCTGACTTATTTGTATGCAGACTGTTCGGTTCCTTGCCACTCAGGCAGATACACTCTGACTTTTAAGGAAATCTCCGGTTGATTTCGTAATATTCTGTCTTTCCTTCAAACTCCTGCAGCTCTTCTAAGGCATTTCATCTCCGTGGTCACAATTTTACATTCATTGGAGGATGTAAGTGTCCACGTTTGGCACTGATAAGGTAAGTTTTGACCCCAAAAAGTCTATGTTGATTCAAACCCCAGACTATCAGGTCACGGCAGGTGAGTGTATAGCTATTATGCCTCTGGCTTCCATAATCATTATAAAAAAATGTAAAGTAAAGGACCCTTTTTCCATGCCTTCAGGTGTATTGGGCATATAGGGCTAGACCTATAAATTTAGAGACCATTTAGCACACTGTGAGTGATGTGGTCAGTGCCCTATCAACCACCTTTACTTCCCAAGACTTTACCTGGTACCCCCTCAAGGCTGGATTGACCTGGGAGCCAAGGTCGTTTTCTGAAAAGTCTGGCTCCGTCATAACCTGAACCCACAACCTTCGGATCCGCAGCCGAGGGTCTAGCCGCTGCACCACAGCAGGGCCTTTAATCATTATAGCCTCTGAATAAATTGTTTTTGGATAACTTATTTGAATATTTCTCATGTTTGTTAATTTTGCTTTCCTTGCAGCTGTCAGGAGGTCTCACCATGGTACAGAAAGAGAAAATTCTGCGCAGTAAAGTGGAAACTATGGCTAAAGAGAAGAAAGACAGGATGGCAAAGTATGACATCTTGCACAGCCGTGATGAACACTTGAGTGAAGTTCTGTCTACTCCGACATACACTGTCTCCCCTGGGAAAGTGCCTACACTAGAACAGTTGAGAGAGCTTGAGAAGCATGTCGCACGTCTGCAGGAAGAGAGGGTAATTTTCAGATTTGTTCTTCAGGCTTTTGCTTTATTAGTGTTATATCAATATTACTTATTTTCCTGCTAAATATTTGTATTCTAAATTAGTTTCCAGTCTTTTTTATTCAACTATAGTTCATGCTATGTTGCGTTCATAATTATTTCCAGTACAAATTTTTTTCTGTGCCTTCTTCTGCATTCGCCCTCAATAGGCACGTTGTGTTGTGGTTTACAGCAAGGCTGCAATATCTGCACCTTTTGGCCAAACACATTCGGTTTCAGCATACCTAATTGGTACTCTTTTACAACATACTTGTTATGCGGCTGTAGGTCTATTCTAGGTTGTTGTTTTTTTTTTTTTTCAATAAATGTAATCTTTTTTTTTTCTAATATCCCAGAATCCTCTTCTACTTCTTCGTATTCACTGGCTGTAAACTCCAGCAGAAAGTTCTGATTGTCCACCACCTCTGGACTTTAGTCTTGTTCCAGAACCTGGGTGTTGCATGCACATTCGTTTAACAGATCTGACTTGACTGTATGCAGAATATTGTTCCTTGCCTCTCAGGCAGATGCACTCCGACTTCCAAGGAAGCCCCCAATTAGTTGACTCTTAGGACATGTGGGTCTTGTCTTGTCTCCCTCCACAATGGGACCACGGAACCCACACAGGGAAATCCCAGTATGATTATCCTAAACCCACACAGGAAATTCTGTACCAGACTTTCTAGCATCATCATCTCTCTTGGTCTTCCCCTCCGACCTTCCTATTATCACAATGTACTCCACTTTTTCCCTGCTCATAGTGTGACCAAAGAATATAGATTGTCTCCTCCTGATGTATGTCATTATTTGTAATTCATTTCAATTTCACATGCTTTTTTTTTTTTTTTTATATAAATCAGTGGTCTATTTTTGTGTGCAGGATAAACGTTTTACAGAGCTAGTAACAACTAAGAAAAAAATCATGGAACTCTACAGTCTCATAGAGTTTGAACCAGATACACCATTTGGCTGTGAGCTGATCTGTGAAGATGATGATAGTTTGGGGCTGTCTACAGAGAACATGGACAAACTAAGCAAGCTACATGACGAGGTATGTCCGTAAAATTCACAAAATTCACAGAGGTCATGCTCCATTTGTGTGTGTTTTGATATCTATCTGATCTTTTTCTTCTTAGCGTTCATCGGCTTTAAACTGGCAGAATGTTCTGGTTTGTTTGTCCACTTCTGGACTTTGGTAACAGAACCTGAGCTTTGCATGCACATGTTTTACAGATCTGGCTTATTTGTATGTGTAATGTTGCTTCCTTTGTCTCTCAGGCAAGTGCACTCTGATTTTGGAGGAGGCACCCTAATTCCTCCTTCAGCATGCTTGTTGGAGGGGGGGGGGGGGGGGGCAGTGCATCTGTTTGCTCTTTAGAATGGAGCATCAGAACCCACACATTCGGAGATAAAAGTCAGAAGCAGAAGACACAATGTATGCAGAGGTTTTAACTGATTCTAATAGGAATTCTGTCAACTACACTAACAGTGAAAGCAAATATGGTAATGAAAGGGATTGTTGTAACTTATGGAGCCATAGTAGTATAGTAGCTATATGTTTAACTGCTGGATTGAAAGTGTTGGGTTCAAGTCTACATGAAGAAGTTTTTTTTTTTTTCAAAACTGGCTTGGACTCCCAGGTCGCCAAGTCTAAAATGGATACCAGATAATATCCTGGGAAATGAGGGCTTGGTTGATCCTGACCATATAACCTGCTGACAGCCAATTGATCTATAAAATATGAAGTGCATCATATGTCTGATATGCGACTGGTGTACAGAATTAGGGTCCTTAATTTTACTGCTTCAAATTGTAGTAGAATGTCTCTAATGGCACCTTCTGGTCATAGAGGATGGATACACAGAGGGGGCAGATGCAGTTTACAGAACTAAGTACACCTTCTCCTTGACTTATGAGCTATGCGACTTACAACCTATATGATTTACGACCATCGCATTTATGACTACAAAAAAAAAAGCAAATAAATAAAGATAGCTATATAGGTAGGTGAAAAAGTTCCAGTAACTGTTGCTGTGGAGTATATATTATGTATTTTTTACACAATAATTCTGTGTGCATAGATATAATTTTTGTGTTTCAAATAAAAAAAATGTATAGCCCATTTCAATTAAAATAGTGTTGAAATATATAAAAATGACTTATGACCTGTTATTCGGAACAGGAACTCTGTCATAAGTTTAGAAAAGCCTGTATCCCACAGAATAAGTGGGAACAGCTCTACCTAAGTTAAGCAGAGCATTTATTGTTAACATGGATTCAAAATTAGGATAATCATGGAGTTTTTTTTTTTTTTTTTTGTTATTTTTATTTAGGTGAAATAAGATAAGATAAAAAGTCTTCTTTGCATTGCTTTCATATGCTTAGGTAAGATCGTCAAGTAGGCCGCCTCTATGAATTTGCATGTCAGTTGCAGGTCCCTCGTGGTGCCCCCTAGCTTGCTCTACACGCTCTGCTCTTGGAGTCAGGTTTTTCTTTGTTGTTGTAAGTATAAGCAGGACTTCAGAAAGTACTGAGGCTTTTGTGGTCACATTTGACGTACAGACTGTGGGGATAAAGATTCAAATATAAAGATAATCATGCAGTTTGTATTATATATTTTCTTTCCAGCTGGTCAGAAAGAATGAGGCCATGAAAACTGAAACGGATAATTTGTGGGAGCGGCTTAGATCCTTGTGGAACAGACTAGACACTTGTGACATTGACAGAGAGGAGTTTGAACTGAAGATTAATGGTCATGGGACCAAAGCAGTTGCAGCTCTGAAAGGGGAGATTGAGGCATGTGAACTTCTGAAGCTTCAAAATATTCGTAAATTTGTGGATGGAATTCGGAGTGAGCTGATTTCTTGGTGGGATAAGTGCTACTTCAGTGAGGAGCAGAGAAGTGGATTCAAGGCTTTCAGTGAAGGTATTATTCTGTTGTTTGAAATAGTTTCACGCACTAATTAAGTATAGGAAGGATTTCTATACCAGAAGTAGTTAGTAAAGGATCCTTGTTCACCCTGTAAGACCCCTTATGGATTCCAGGACCTATTGTGGGGGAAACAAGAATAGACTGATTGCCCCCCTGAAAGTCATGTCGTAGAAGTGAACTAATTAGGGGATTCCTTCAAAGTCAGAGTGCATCTGCCCGAGAGGCAAAGAAACAGCAGTCTGCCTACAGTTTTGCTAGATCATTAAAACAGGGCACACACAAAACTCAGATCCTTGAACAAAGTTAAGGTCTAACAATAGATGAACATCCTGGATTTTCCGCTAGGGTTTTCAGCCAGTGAACACATGCAAACTCTTTAAGGTATATAAGACTGAATCTAACCATGACAGCAGTGAGAGCGTACAGTATGAAAATGGAAACACCAAAAGGCAGAGGGAGACCCAGAAGAATATTAATCGAGGGAGGGAGTCACTAACATCCTGAGTCTTCATTTATCATGCAATAGACCACACCCTGGCTTGGCTGCCTATCTTTTGTTAAACTGCAAGGCCTAGTGGCACAAAGCAGATATTGACAAAAGAACAAGAAAGTTAGTCAAGGACCCATTTCCATACATATCTGGTAACTAAAGGATCAGTTTCCACATGATTGGCCACCTTTACTTCCTGTAACATTTTCTAGCACCCATTTTTAGGCTGGGCCAATAAAGATTTGAATCTATGGCCAGCAGAGAAGATGCTAACTGCTGCACCACCCTGGTTGCCAGTTTCATTCAGCAGTGAAGAGAAATGATTAAGTGACGAAATGTTTTATTTCAGTCCTTGAGGCACAAGGTGGAAGAGAAGAAAAAGCAATGCCATTTCTTCTTACCATTTTTCAGCATTTTTATCCTTCATTCATCTTTTGTGTTTCATTCGTCTTTGTGTTAGACCTTTTTTTTTTTTTCTCAGCTTGTATTTGTGAGAAAGAGAAAGGACTTTTGCAGCATTCAACAGGTTTTTGTTGATTCTACTATGAAATGTCACAGCAGATGTATACAGCATGATTAAATCATCTGTGCTTTTATTATTATAGGAGAATGCACAGAAGAACTTCTACAAATTCATGAACAAGAACTAGAAAGTGTGCGACAGTATTACAATACAAACAAGGACATTTTGGAGAAAATAGCACGTAGAGAAGAACTGTTCAGAAACATGGTAGTCTTTGAGGTATGATTTGTTTTTGGTCATTGAAAATGTTATTAGTTGCTTTAGTCTGGTAGTTAATATATATATGGGGGCAAAGTGGTCTCGAGGCATGGTGTTGTAGGCCTCGGTGAAAGCTGGGCTTTTTTTCACGTGGACTTCTAGTAACTTCCCCTCATCTCTGGGTAGTAAGATCAGAAGCCCGTGTGTGTTGTTGCGCATGTAAAAATCTCTTGTCAGTTGGAAATCGAAAAGAGTAGCTAACGACACTGCCTGGGCAAAATTTGGAGTTACAAATCTACCCAAAGTATTTCAGGATCGTTGCTGGAGTTATGGAGTTTGTGCACGGCGCTGAGATTCTTCGGACTCGAGTTAGAAGTGGAACAGAGCACTTATGGGTTACCACCTTGTGCCATGCTTAGGCCGCGCGAACATGCTTTGTAATGCTGGTGTGCTGGGTTTGATCCCAGCTGCAGACAGTTTGACAGCAGAACGTCTCTAGCTGGTTATACAGTGGTACAGAGAACTGACCATTCAGAAGCAGTGGCAAACTACTGAACGTAAAATTTGCATAGAAAACCTACAACAGCATAAAAATGCTGGGGTTAGTTCTCCAACATCCTGTAAAGGATGCGCAACTGTCTATATATGTGTGTGTGTGTGTGTGTCTCTCTCTCTCTCCTCTCTCTCCTCTCTCTCTCTCTCTCTCTCTCTCTCCTCTCTCTCTCTCTCTCTCTCTCTCCTCTCTCTCTCTCCTCTCTCTCTCTCTCCTCTCTCTCTCTCTCTCTCTCTCTCTCTCTCTCTCTCTCTCTCTCTCTCTCGTTGGAACTATAATGTGAAATTAAAGTGCCAGCTCCCTGATGGGTTCTAGTACCCCTTTTTTTTGGTGGGGGGTGGGGGGGGGAATAGACCCACTGATCTCAAAATATTTTGGGTAAAAGGCAACTAGATAGGGATTAGGGATTTGCTGAAATCATATGTATTGTGCTGAAAAGTTCAGGTAACTCATCCTAGCTGTAAACCGCAACATAATGTGCCACCACCCTTTTCAAGGTGAGTGGAGAAGTCGTCACAAGCTAGCAGAAGAAGGTGCTACAGTCTTGATAGTGCATGTTAAACATTTAGCCAGATTTTTTTACACAAGCTGGTAGATACTTATTGTTGGGACATTTTTCTCCTCAGGAAAAAGCTAGTGACCCAAACAGATTCTTCTCTGACAGGGGAGGAAGGTTACTTCAAGAAGAAAAGGCTAGAAAGAAGCTTATGAAAGAATTGCCAAAGGTTAGTATTTTCTTCGTCTATTAAAGATGTTGTCGGCTCTGTGGCTAAGTCGATGCGAACGCTTCGTAATGCGGGGTTTGATCCCAGCTGCGGGCCATGCGCCTCGCGTTGATTTCGGCAGTGGTATCAAGAAAACCGACCGTCTAGAAAGCCATGGCAAACTACTGGACGTAAATTTGCCTAGAAAAACCACACAGCAGCCAGGGGCTGTTGGAGTTGGTTCTGCAATGTCCTGTAAAGGATACGCAACTAACCTTTTTTTAAAGATGTCAACATCGTGTAACAAAACCTTTGCAAGATACCACTCGCCACAACTTGCTAACAAAAATTATTAGTCTTTTTGTCAATGCTTCTAGGTCATGCATATTTATGAGCCACTTTTCTTCGGTGTTTAGAAGGTCTCTATTTTAGGTCTTTATCATGCCACTCCTACATGTTTAGTCAGACAACAAAAGAAGAAAAAGATCTTGCCACTGGAAAGTTGTTTTGTCTTTTCCATGCCTGGTTTTGACCTTACCGGTGTTTGTACCCTCTGCATTGCTCGGGCCAGTTTTCTTATTGTCTTTTTTTTTTTGTTATTAATTTTACAGCCAGTGTATTTTTCTTCTTCTTAATGTTCACTGGCTGTAAACTTGTTGTTTGTTTACTTCTGGACTTTAGTCTTGGTCCAGAACTTGAGTTTTGCAGACACATTAATTTTACAAATAAGTGAATGACATTTTAACATCTTTTAGTTATTGCTTTATTAAGACTAGCATGTTGAAGGCACACTGACAGATGAAATAACATATTTAAGAATGACTTAAACTTGGCTTTAAATGTGGTTCTAGCCAGGAGAGAAACACCGGGAACAAATTTGATGCTTGTAACCAATTAGATACTGGAAAGATTTGCATTTAACTCTGTAGGTGCCAAAGATCTCACCACGAGATGAATTATATTTAATTTAAATGTCCTCTGCTGCCGAAAGAGTTAAACCTTACATTTTCAGAGGAAGATGGAGCAAAAGCATTTATCTCAAGTGCTATATTGCCAAATTGGGCTTTTATTAATCAAGAAATAGCTTTCAGCTGGGTAAACTGAGGCAGGCTTAAAGATTATTGTGTAAATAGTCAATAGCTAGACAACATCAGTGCTATGTATCACACAACTGAATATGCTGTAGGATCAGCCAGCCTCTAGAGCCTGCTACATAAGAACAGCAAGCTACAAGGCAAGGGTCTGACCAAGAAAGAGATGGGGGGGTTAAAGAAGTTAAAGATATACTACAGAAATGTAATAGTGCACAAGCTACGCAACTAGCAAGCAACATACAGTTCCTCTCTGCGATGCTTTGCGGCAAGGTTAATCAGCTGGCCTGGTAAGTTGCCTGCGGATCCTTGCCAGATATATAAATGATCTCTCGCTGGGGCTCAAACCTCCGGCCCATGACAATCCTCACTTTCAGAATTAGTTGAATAGCCCTGCTTTGCGGCATAAGCAGTAGAGCAAAAGAAAAAGCTGTGTTGTCCGTTCTGAAAAACAATGAAATTAAATAATTATAAAATGAAACAAATTGAAATAATGTAAGTTCTGATGCAAAATGTGTAATGAAAGAAAGAAAAGCTTATAAAACATGGCTTATCTCATTTAACTTTTTTTTATTTTTTAAGGTTGAAGAGGAAGTAACGGAAGCCATCTTGAAGTGGGAAAGTGACAACCAGAAGGACTTCCTTGTCAATGGTATGAAGTTTCCAGACTTTGTGAAGAATTCGTGGGAGAATTTCCAGTCACAGAAAGATCAACAGAAACAGTTAAGAGTGAGTTTGGGCATGATATTTTCTTTCATCTTCTTCTTCCCGTTCACTGGCTGTGAACTTCGGCAGAAATTTCTGTTAGTCCCTTTTTTGACTTTAGTTTTATTTCAGCACTTGAGTTTTACCTGCACATCCATTTTACAGATCTGTTTTATGTGTATGCAGACTGTTGGTTCCTTGCCTCTCATTCAGATGCACTCTGACTTCAAAGGAAACACCCCTAGTTAGTTGACTTTTATGACCTGCTTGTTGGGGGAAGTGGGTCTATTCCTTCCTCCCACACCCCAACCCCATCCCCAGTGGGGCCCCGGGACCCACACTGGGATGACATTTTTTTAGATGCTAGTCCTTTGGATATTTTCCCCAGGATGTGCCTGTGTATTAGACAAATAACAGGCAGATAGACTGGCTGGTTCTGCACAGCTTGGTGGTGACTTGATGCATGACAAGCTAGATATTGTAAAGACCTTTTGGAGGCGAGCGAACAGTGCAGAAGAGCATCATGGTCTGAAAAGAAGGGTACTGCGAGGAGTGACCAGGGGATTTAGTCGGCAATCAGCCCTCCAGGCAAATTTGAGCTGGATATACAATCAGACTGTTATTGGTACTATTAGAATTGGAACTCTGTGTTTGCTGCTGAAGATGGGGGCGGATGCTCATGGGAATGTCCCAGGTGCTGTGATGTCAATTCTAAATTAAACATTAGATGCTACTCCTGTCAGTATTTGTTTGTTTCGTTTCCTCGCCATATATCAACAAAACAAATAATTACTAGAAATGTTCTACTGTAGTTGAATTGGATTATACTTCTTAGTGTAACACTTTTAAAGGTTTTGTTATTTAAAATATAAGCGGCTCAGAGATTAGTTAATGTATTTAACAGTTTCATGCTCCTCAGCACAAAAGTTTGATTTCTGTAATGGGTAGGTTTAATAGGTTTGTTTTTTTAACTGAGTTTTTGAACTTGTATAGAGTCACACCATGGAAGAGATTAAAGCATCACAATACTCCCAATGACAATAGTGGTTGCAGTGTGGCCAGCCTTTATTATGGAGACAATTTTGTTTCCAATTTAAAATTAGTATTCATTTGTTTGGCTTCATTTAAATCAGTTTTTACAGTAGCATGCACCTGACGAGATAAAGCGAGAAATGTCAGGCAATAAATTGTGCAATCTATTGTTTGTGTCTTCTTTGTTCAAATTCACAAAGGGAAAACATTGCTTTGATTAAAATAATTTATAGTGGGTTTCAAAACTCATTCTGTCACACTTTAACAAATATTTCCAAATTTTCTGTGCAGATCAACAAAAACTTTGTGTGTGGCCTTAGATTTCCCACTTCTTATGATTTTATAATTGACAATTGCACAGGTGCTGCTGTTTTCTTAAAGTGGCGAATTTCTTTGATCTTTGACTATATAATTGCCCTCCCCCAACAAAGAATATACTGTAATTTACACACGCTTTGAGATTGTTCGGAAATTAATTTAGTTGTGCAGCGATGCGTGCTGATTATTTTTTTTTTCCCATTTGACATAAATAAAAAATCTATCTGCAACTCACAGAAGACTCATGCTGGAGGTGACTACCTGTGAGTCAAACACCTATGACAGGCATGCAGTTTAATGAAAAGCTCCTGTTACTCAGTTAACTGTAAGCAAGCTGACTGTTAGCTTTGAATTGGTATCTGTTGTTGTTTTTTTCATGTACTGCAAATAAGGCCAAATGAAACCTAGATATTTGTTTACATTAAAAAAATGTCTTTCATGGACATTCGGTATAAGTTTTTAATGTGAACATTTAGTTTTCATTTTGCCTTATTTGCAGGACTTAAAAAAACAGGTTACTGAGTTACAGATTTTTTACAGTTGGCCAGGACTTTTTTAACAGACTAAACATTAAATATTTCTCATACAATTCATTTATGTGTTCCCCACAGACAGTGGATTTGAAGGATGTTATTTAAAATAAATGTTTTTTGCAGCTAATTACTTAGTGTCTTTTGGCAACATAAAATATGGTGACATGTATAGATGCCCGACTGTCATATGACAGTGTGGCAGTGTTGTAAGCCAAATTTAGAGAGTGGCATTTTATGTGTCAGACTCATATCCACCATGACCTTTTATATTGTTATTTATTTATTATAATTTTTTTTTTTCTCTTTTTTTTTCCATTGTCTATGGGGGACACCAGTAATTTGTATTTATGTTATCATGTTCTGTTAATTGCTCCATTAATCCTTGAAGAAATACAATCCTCAGCTCAAAGCTCGGGTAAAGCAAGCACAAGATGATGTGGCATATGGGAGCAAATCTGGGTCACAGACTCCCAGCAAGCGTAAAGTGCCACAGTCTGCTTCTACTCCTGTGCGGACACCCCTTAAAGCCAGAAAGGTTTGCTTATTTTTGTTCCTTATAACCTTACATGTTTAGTTTTAGGTTTCTTATTCTTCCGATGTGGGTTCTGGGCCTCACAGGGGTGGGAGAGGGTTGATATAGATCCACTATCCCTAAGAAGCATGTATTCCAAGGCGACTAATTAAGGATTTGCTCAAATCAGATTTGTTGGACTGAAAGATGCAGACATCACAGCCTAGCTGCAAACCACAATATGGCATCCCACATGCCCTTTTAAGGGCAAAAAAAGGGCAGACAGGAATATATGATTCCCTTATGTGCTTAGTTGTTGATTTTCATCTCTTCATTCTGTCATGTAATTACTTTTTTTTTTTTTTTTACCATTACAAAATCTTTTAATGCGCAATGAAATCACGGGTTCCTGGAATTAGCGACACCTACTAATAGAAACATCAACATGGCCCACCTGTGAGTGATCATGCCACCATTCCTTTTGCCTAATCTTAGCCAATCTGTACACATTGTACCAAATCTTGACACAGTGTGTTGAACCATGACCTAGTTACATCCTAATATGCCTGCCTGCAGATGTGGAGTTTTAGTACCAGTCTTCTTGCACACCCTGTTAGTTTCTCAGTGTGGAGAGGGACAGAAGAGCTGGGCAACAATCACCGTTGGAATGTTACTTCTGTATCAGGTTGATAAAAGTTTCTAGACCTACCTCACTCAAATAGATACAAGTCCTTTTCATGACCCTGTTGAGTTGAGAATCAACATCCCAGCACTCAGGACATTCCTGTAAGCACTCAGTCTCATCTTCAGCTTCCAGTGCAGAGTTTCAGTTCTAATGGTAACAGTAACTGTTTGATTGTCTGTCTTTCTTGCTGTTGAGTGTTGACCAAATCCCCTACCCATTCCTCGCTACATCATTCTTTCCAGACTGAAGATCTGTTTGTATTTCTGCACTGTTATTTTACCCCCACCCCCCACCCCAAGCCCTTGATCACTTGATCTAGCTTGTCATGCATCAGTCTACCACCAAGCTATGCAGAACCAGCCAGTCTATCTGCCTGTTTATGACCTGAAGGTATCAGACTTCATCTTGTCATTTAAAGTCAGTTTCCCAGAGGATTTTCAACCTACAAATCAAGAAGTTGTCTCAACTATTTCCAACTCTTACCTTCTCTTAGATAACTAAACAAATGGAGATTGCCGTGTTCTAATATATGTAATAATTTCCCTTTGTGAATTGACCTCGTGTAGCAGTGTATTCTTCTGAGCCTTCATTGAGAAATGATTGCTGTAAAGATAATTGCAACTTATCATAGTGTATAAATTATAAGTCTTACTTATTGTAAATGAGTGAATCTGATTATGTTTTCAAACTTTAGGTTGAGATGGGTCCATCAGTCTCTGTGAAAGTCAGAATTCAATATGATATGGTGACTATTTTTTTTTTTTAAGCAAGATCCACTTTTTTTTTTTGTTAATTTTTTTTTTTCTTCATTAACATTTGTAAACTTGTTGGGATCCTACACCTCTTTGATATTTTTTCTAGTTTTTTCTTTCAGTTTTATTGACTTGTTGTTTGTTTTGTAAATGAGAAAAAAACTTTAAAAGTGTATCCAATTGGTTTATGTCTCTTGCACACTAATTTCCAAGGCCATTTGGTTAGCACCTGTGTTCCTTTTTTTTTTTTCCTTGAAGAAGTCTGTCTTCATAAGGTTTGAACCTAAGGCATTAAGCAACACATGAGTGGATCTACATTGTGTTAAGCTTAAGTTTATTATAAAATAATTTGTAGTATCCTGATTAAAAACAAATCTTCAAATTTTTTGAGGAGATATAGTAGTTACTTAGCTGCTTAAAATGCAGCCGAATAATTGTTAAAAGTATATTTACTACATTATTTTAATAAAATAATTATTTTCTTCACTATACTGCTGGCTTATATAAAAACTTACAGGCGACGAATATAAAGTAATTCCTATTTTCCATTGCATGCAAATTGTTAAACATTACAATTTTTGAAAGATGCATTAACTGTAAATTGTTATGGTTGTTGAAAGCTTTATGTTTATCCTTAAATGGTGAGAAGCTGTACACTTTCTTCGTCTTAATGTTTACCAGCTGTAAACTCTGGTGGAAACCTCTGGTTGTTCATCCACTTCTAAACATTGATCTCTTATTTGAGAACTTGAGTTTTGTCTGCACATCCGTTTTACAGATGTAACTTATTTGTATGCAGACTTAATTCCTCACCTCTTGGGCAGATGCACTCAGATTTTGCAGGAAGTTCATAGGCAACCATCAATCCCTGGCAACCATGGAGTTGTGGCGCTCGTCTTGGAAATAGCGTCTGCTATAACTGTAAAGTCTAGTGCGGGAGTGGCAGTCTGCCACATAGTCCACATAAAATCATGGATACCATCCTAAGGCTGATTTTTCTTTCAGCTGTCACCTCTCTTGTTGCATTTGGCCTCTCAGACTGCAACGTTCTGTTTTTACTGTCGACCTCCAAAGGAGACGGTCTGTAGCTGATCTCTCCGAAGTGTCTGTGCCAGTGTTGATTAGCTGACTAATTAGCTCACTTTTACGACAAAATATTCTTTTAACTCTTTGAGTCACAGAGGATTTAGCATCACAGGCCCAAGGGGTAGTCAAGAAAGAGGTAAAATCGGCGCATCCTGCGTTCATTGGGCTTCTAGACAGTAACCTATGAACGTATGATGTGTTCTTTGGGACTCAAAGGGTTAAATATATATATATTATTTATATATGTATAAAGTGGTGCATCAAGCACATGATGTTAGGCTCATATTTGTATAGACCAGTCAGCACTCATTAAGTGATGTGGTCAATGTCACGCCAACCTCACCTTTACTTCCCAGGACATTACCTGATACTCATTTTAGGCTAAGTCCACATGGGGGGCAATTAGGTTTTGGAGGAAAAAATATAACTTGATACAGATTTGAACCCCATAACCTTCAGGCCGGCAGGCAAGCACCTCCTGTCAAGTCATAATCATGAGCCATGCCGGTAAGCTTAGGCTGTCATGTTTTGCCACCTCACACGATCACCAGAATTACAGATCAGTTCAGCATTTTTGTGTGGCCAGTCATCCAAGTATTTATCTCTTTGCACAGTCTGTCGCCTGAAATATTATACTGTATCTCGTCTGGTGCATACTAGAGTGACAATTGAAGCAAAAACATGAGTTCTTTTGAAATACAGAGTTGCTTCCTCTTGCTCTCTTTCCCCTTCTCTTGCTCTCTTTCCCCTTTTCTTGCTCTCTTTTCCCTCCTCTTGCTCTCTTTCCATCGATTCGTTCTCATATGTCCAAATACTGTCTGCGTGTAACTGTAAATAAGTTTAAGACTTTCATCTGTCTCAGCGAGGACTGCTTCATTTGTTTTTCTTTCCCTCCATGATATTCTTTAAATTCTTCTCAGAAACGTCTCTGCCTTGAGTAAATGTTTTCAGCTCGTCTGCTTGTTGTCCATGTTTCACTTGCGTATAACAACACAGGTTCTACATAACACTTTAACACTCTTATTCTCACTGCAAGGGACATCTTCTTATTGATGAGAATCTTGTTAATCTTTTTAAAGGCCACCTTTACCGTGACAATTATTTGTAAGTTGTGAAAACATGACTATCTGAGGATAGTAGTTTGCCATTGCTTTCCTTCGGTCATTTACATGTCTGTTTTTATATTTCAGCTGAATGATGTCCCCACAACTCCTAGCACCACTAGCAAACTGCCAACTCGATATCAACACAACACTCTTGTACATACTCCGGGAAAACAGTCTACCTTCACACCAAAGGTAAATGAAATTGTTTCAGCAGGGTATTTGGGGAGCCCTTGTGTTATTGCCTGTAGCTGAATTGTATTAATGGAGTTATTATCATTATAAGCCGCACTAGCACAATCGATAGGAGACTGGCTTTCAAATCCAGCTGCAACTCACGACCGGTGTTCGAAACGGGGCGGTTCCCGGGGTTCACCTGGCCTCTAGGTAATGGGTACCAGAGTTAACACTCTGGGGTAAATGGAGGAACATCGCTGTAGCTATGGAGTTGCATGCGGACGGCAACACAGGCGGACAGTTTCTTATCAGCTGTCCGTACTAGTGGCAGAGCACTTATGGTTTATAACCGTGTGCAATGACGCTGGTTCAAATCTCCCGACTTTACTTTTATTTACCTTTTGTTTTCTGTAAAATGTTTGTCTCTTGATATCTTTTTCATCTCCTCTCGTTCTTATCTCCTTTCTTTATTTTTCTTGCTGTCTATTTAATTAATTCCCATTCTAACACCAACCCCCCGCCCCCCCCCCCCCCTTTTTTTTTTTTTTTTCCAGTGTGGGTTTTGAGGCCCTATTATGGGAAAAGGGGTAATAGACCCCTTCCAAACAAGCATGTCATACAAAGTTACTAATTAGAGGTGTTTCCTTTGAAGTTGAAGTGCATCTGCCTGAAAGGCAAGGAACTAAGTTTGCACACAAATAGGCCAGATCAGTTAAATGGTGATGCACGCAAAAGTCCAGTTCTGGAACACGGCCAAAGTCCAGACAACCAGGACTTACTTTCTACAGGGGTTCTCAGCCGGTGAACACTAAAAAGAAGGGTTTTAAAAATACATTTTTAAAACTATCTCTTTCTCCTCTTCTCTTTTTCTCACTCTCTTCAACCAACTTGCACAAGCCCTCTGTTGATTTATTCATTTTGCAGCTTACATTTTTAAGGAATGAGGTAGCCAGGCTTGTCCAAACCCCCTTAGTCACCCCCTATGACATGCTTGGTGAGATAGTGTTACTGTTTTTTGCATCCCTAATGAACCCCAGTAACAGACCAGTGAATAATTTGAATAGAAAAGGTTAACCCTTTCACTTCCGGTACCTAAAAAAAAAGTACAAACACTTGTATTTTGGGTATTCCTAAAAAAAATTCTTAAGACATTCGTTTTACACAATTAGACAACAAATCCAAACAGTTCGTTAATGGGCTAAAACTAAATTTAACTGCATACAAAATAGCAAGAATAATCAATATGGCTGTGAATCCTGGACAGTTAAATAAACAAGCCAATCAATTTCTGAGGCCTAAGAGATGTGGTTTCACAGAAAAGTCCTTAGAATTCCTTGGACAGCGAAAAAGAGCAATCTAGGTGTTTTGAAAGAGGTGAGGGCTCAAAGAAAACTTATCACAAAACATCAGAAAGAGACAGTTGTCATTTTTGGGTCATGTTATGAGAAGGAAACTGAAACATGTTGTGACCACTGAAAAGATCTGTGGAAAAAGAGACAGGGGAAGTCACTGCAAGATGATTCTTGACAGCCTTTTGTCATGGTATGGAGGGGTGTCAGCACAAAAACTGATACATGCCGTTTAAGATCGCACAATTGTGGAGAGACATGATCACCTACTCTAGTCAGCAAGGCACTTGATGATTGTGAATCAGTAAGAGAGAGAAGTGCAGGAGAGAATTGACTGAGCACATCTGTCTGAGCTTTTTTTTTTTTTAAATGTCTAGCGGACCTTTTTTTTTTTTTTTTTTTTTTACCTCCCTGCAACTTACCACGGTAACTAAAAGGAAAATTATATCACGTCCTAATTTAAACAATTAAAGCCATAGCACCTGTGCTCGTTGCCAGTCATTTTTAATAAAAGTTGCACCTGCAAAAATGGAATCAGTGCGGTTAGCAGTGTTCCTTGTAAACAAGCCTCTATAGTAGTGGTCTCCAACCTTTTTCAGGTCTACCCCCTTGAGTATAAGGCAGGATCCACAGCCCCCTAGAGTGTATGGCAAGACCCCCCCCCCCCTCCCCTCCCTTCCCCTTGAGTGTATGGCAAGGAACCTCCGCCCCCCCCCCCCCCCTTGAGTGTATGGCAAGACCCCCGTGCTTTTCTTGGGTATATAACCATCATTTCCCCCTCCCCTACCATAGCAAAACAATGGAAACTGGACATTTTCGGGGGCCATGGCACAGACCAGAAGCACAGGTGTTTTTATGCTTCTCGGAGCAAATGAGTTTATATAACGATTGCCGGTGACTGAAGATAGCGAGAACTTAAATTGTATTAGGAATGACAAAGAAACCTGTGCTGAGTTTTCTGGTACTCATTTACCAATATCAAATGTCTTGTTGCAGACGCCACTCAGCAAATCAGCAAAGAGAAGATCCTCACGCCTTAAGAGGAGGTCAGCTGCAAAACATAGTCTAAGTAGCAAAAACCGGCGCAAGTCCAGAGACATATTTGCCCAAGGAGTAGAAAACAAGAGGAATGACAGCTCTGCATCTTTGGCTGCACATGGATCTTACCAGGATTTCACTGTATGTTCTGGGTGATTTTTTTCATGGGGGGGGGGGGGGGGGGTTGCGACTTGTTTTCAAATTATTTCGTCCCCTATATGGTTTCTAGGGTCAAATTGTGGAAAAACTAATAGACACACTGCCTACTCAAAGAAAAGCATGTCATAGGAGTCGATTAATTGGGAGCTTCCTTCAGACTGCATCTGCCTGAGTGGCAAGGAGCAATTGCCTGTATACGAATAAGCCATTAAAACAAATGTACACACAAAACTCAGGTCCTGGCACAAAGCCAAAGTCCAAATAGACGAACAACCAGGATTTTCCGCCGGACGTTACAGCCAGTGAACAAGGAAGAAGAAATTATTTCATCCACATCTCATCCTTTTAAAAAAAAAAAAATTGCTTTGTCTACAAATCTGAGCGCCAGGATTGTTCTGTTGACCACATTACCTATCGAGTGCCGGTTGATATTTATAAATGTGGGGCTATGGCCATTCTGTTTATTGCGGGCCGAGGCATATTTTTGTGTGATCTGTAAGCACTTATGCGTTATATATTCCTGCAAGGGCATGACCATGTATGTTAGTTAGCTGCGTGTCCTTCACAGGACGTTGCAAAACCAGCCCCTACATTTTTGGGCTTCAGATTTTACATTTATTAATTTGCCATTGCATACTGAACTGGCGATTCTTCTTCTTCTTCGTGTTCACCAGCTGTACACTCTGGTGGAAAGTTCTGGTTGTTCGTCCACTTCTGAACTGCAGTCCTGCTCCAGAACCTGAGTGTTGTGTGTGCATCAGTTTTACAGATCTGACTCACTTGAACCAGATTGTTGGTTCCTTGCCCCTCAGGCAGATGCACTCCAACTTCAAAGGAAGCTCCCCAATTAGTCGACTCTTACGACATGCTTTTGTGTAGGCAGAGGGTCTATTCTTGTTTTCCCCACAATGGGACCCCGGAACCCACACGGGGAACTGGCGATGATTGATACCTGTAACCTGGAAGCCACAGATGCTGACATGTTTGTGTATATCTGTATATGAGAGTGTGAGTATATGTATGGGTGATAATGAGTGTGTGTATGTATGCATTTGTGAGTGCATCTGTGTATGTGAGAATGTATGAATGAGAGTTTATAAAGATTATCAAACCAAAAAATTTTAATTCATACATAACAGCGCATATTACTCATTCTTCCTGTAATTTGTTTTCCTGATATCTCATACTAGAATTGTGTCATCGCATCTAAAGCCTCGTCACCTGATACACAACATACTTAAGGTTCTAATGGGAGGTGAGCATGCTTTGGGGTTGGGTTTTTTTTTTTTTTTTTTTTGGCTTAATATATCCTTATAATCCTATATATATTTTTTGTGTATGCATTTTTTATCTAATAGATTTGTCACTACTCTGGGTTAATGCACACACACACACGCACACACACACAACTGTACACATGTATCAGCACTATGGACATTTTTTAGTGCTTGTGAACATGATTTTTATCTTGACTGAGAAAATCTTTTGCTTGCTCTGGGCCATACAGTTGTTCACTATACTTTAAGTAACAGTCGTTATGGAGTAGAGTAGAGTGAGGATTTCTGTTTCTGACTGTTAAAAAACTGGTATATTTCAGTGTTGGCAATGATTTAGTTTTTTACAAACCAATAAAAGAATCCCTTGATCCTGGAGTAGTCATTTAATGTCAGCCTCATCGTAACTGGCTAATAACTAGGGCTAGTGTTAAACGAAAATTGTGAATTTCATTTTAACAAATTAAAAAAATGGGTTTTATTTTGCCTGGAATAGTCATTCCTTTTGAATCTTCTCATAATGGGCTAATAGCGAGGGCTTGCAACACATATCAAAAAATAATATTCTAATTTTTCCCTTCTGCTTACATTTTCTGCTCAAATGTTAAATTCCAGTTAAGTATGCTGGTCAAATAGTTCAGCTTTCATTCAGATTTGGCAGCCTGTCCATGCCACTAGTTCTTCAGGCTAAAGACTGGAATGAAGTCTGGACACACCATTCTTCCATTTCAGGTTCATTCTTGGGAAGATGCTGTGATAGTTTTCCCTTGACATCCACATAAACAGATGGTTTGTAAGATGGTATTTTCATGATGTGCATCACAAAGAGAATGTGAATTGATATGTCACCCAGGTTAATTAATGGGGATATGGGTTAAGTGTTGAGCTAAGCTAAGAACTTCTTCTTCTTCGTGTTTACTGGCAGTAAACTTCAGCGGAAAACCCTGGATGTTCATCCACCTCCAGATGTCAGTCTTGCTCCAGAACCTGAGTGTGCCGTGCACAACCATTTCACAGTTTCGGCTTATTTGTATGCAGACTTGTGGTCTCATGCCTCTCAGGCAGATGTACTCCGACTTCAAAATATGTCCCCAATTAGTGGACCTTCGACATGCTTGTTGGGGAGGCAGTGCATCTTTTCTTGTTTTCCCCACAGTGGGGCTCTGGAACCCACACAGGGAAGTTAAAAACTGATATCACAGCACTTGGGACATTCCCTTATGTGCTGCAACCTCATCTTCGGCAGCCAGCCAAGAGTTTCAATTCTGAAGGTGACAGTAGCAGTTGACATCACCTGTTCACTCATAGCCGGACCATTCTCCTCAGATCATAATGATCTGTTCGTGCCTTCCCATTGTTTAGTTGCTCTCAGAGAGCTCATCCAGCACATCTAGCTTGTTATACATAAATTCACCACCCATTGATACAGAACCAACCAGTCTGTATGCATGTTCATTTCCCGAAACTCCTGCATCCCTTTGAGTTGAGTCAAGAATTGATATCACAGCACTCGGAGCATTCCCATGCATGCTCCGTCCTCGTCTTCAGCAACCAGCGCAAAAGTTCCATACTGATGGTACCAGTCACAGTCTGGTTATTTGTCCGTCTTGCCTTTCCTCCGAGTGTAGTGAGCCAGCCAGACCCTCTGGTTACACCCAGGTGCCTCATTCTCTCCAGGCCATAGTAATCTTGTTTCTCTACCGATTCCGTTGCTTGTTCCTAAAGAAAATACCAGAGTAAACGCTAACTGTAAACAGGCACAGCTTAATTACGTCACTCTGACGAACAGTGAAAAAGATTCATTCATACATCACTTTAGCTGATAATAATAATAAACAGCATCTAACTCTTAATTACAAATGCTGGAATGTGTTCCAAGTATAGCTACATTTTAAAACTATAATAATAATACTGAGTAAACATAAATGCAGGGGAAATCAGTTTCCCACAAGCCCCCTGCAGCCTTGTCACATATCTCTGTTGTCTGTTTTGTGTTAGATGCAGGTGTCCCTAGAGGCACACTAGTTGGGGAAAATCCTGCCCTAGTGAGAAATGAACTGCTGGTCTTGCACTAACCAGCATACTACCTGTACCATCAACATTAGCAGCAGTTTGTGGGGATGGTTTATTCGTCACTACACATTTTACATTATCTTAAACTTATTTTTGATTGGGCCAATTTAGGAGGTCTTTTTTGTTATGATTTAAATCCAGATTTCTCTTTCCATCCACTTCTCTCTCTCTCTCTCTCTCTCTCTCTCTCTCTCTCTCTCTCTCTCTCTCTCTCTCTCTCTCTCTCTCTCTCTCTCTCTCTCTATATATATTTGCCTCCCCCACCTCTTTCTATGAATTTAACCATGTAACCACCAGGGCTGTCAAAATTGTTGGGGAATAGTACCAGATTTTTCTTTAAAAGGGTACAGCACGCATCAAAAGGTCTCAAATTTTTTTTGTTTTGTTTTAAAAAACAAACAGTAAACCGTCTTTAAACACATACACATGTATAAGACAGAGAAGATGGCACTACACTCGGTACATCCTGAGAATAACCAAGCTGGCATTGAAAATGGGAAATAAAGGGGATAAGGAGGCAAGGAATTCCAAAAAAAAAAACCTAAGATGAAGGTTGATGAGAGAGGCCAAAGCTGCTGGACTGGATTCCATCCGTGATACTGAACTGATTGCACAGGATACAGTAGAATGGAGGAATAGACTGCGAGCCCTTTGTGACATATAATGGCACAACAGGATAGTTAATTAATACATACAAAACTGGCTTTTGATCAGAAATGAAATTATTTGTGCATTACATCATTGCTTTACCATTTCTTTGCTCAGCTGCTGTGGCAGTTTCTAGTACATGCAGTTAATGTCCTGTAGTAATAACGTAGATCTCAGTACATTTATTTTTAGTCTTCAAAGAAGACCGGTTTCTTTATCCTAATATTATTAAGCAGAAAAGAAAGGAACCCTTTCTACGACTGCAGAGGAATGTTGAAATGGTAAAAGACTAAGCATAAATTGTGATAATAAAGAAAAGTGATTATCCTCCACACATTTTTCTCCTGAGATTGTAAATCACAATTTTCCTGGCAGTTTTGTCTTTTCCCCAGCAGAAGATGGTTCATCCTGCACTATTAGAGTCCTCAATTCTTTGTTTATTTGTTAATAATCTTCTTCTTTAACAAGGCTGGAAAATTATATGACCCATAGCATCATGATTTCGGTCTTCCTTCACTAACACTTACTTGATCCAGCGCACAATGCCAACATTGAAAATATTGATGTGAAATTTCTCAAACATACCAAAGCATCTGGTATGGTGCCAAAAATACAGTTATGTTGGGTAAGGGTCAAATAGAACCAGATTTGTACGAGAGTACCAACTTGGGCAGTCCTGGTAACCATTAGTCTGACATGCTAGAAACAGTATTGCCAGTTGTCTCCTTTCAATAATCACATCAACCCATGATCTAGAAAAAACAATCTCTCTTTTTTTTTTTCTTTAAAGGTTGCCACGGATCAAATGCTTTCTAGAAGTCGCACTAAAGATAATTTATAATTGTTAGAATTGCAACAAAAGATTACATTCTCAACATGTGCTGTTTTTTTTTTTTTTTTTTTTTTAATTATTATTATTTCACAAAGCTTTTCAGTTTGTTCTGCAGACCATTAAATGGAAAGACAAACCTACAACTGTAAGGTTAAAACGTGAAGAAAAAAAGCATCAGTAGATGAAACTCTATGGCTAATGTGGTCTCTACAAAACTTTCAGATATTTAACTGACAATTGTATATTGCCTTCGAAATAGTTTATGAAACACTAAAGCAATTCTGATTTTATTTTCAGGTGGGCTTGTCAAAACCAGATAGTCACAGCAGCATCTTGTCATTTGTCAACGAATGACATGGAGTTCCATCAACGAATGACATGGCGTTCCATAAGTGAATGACATGGAGTTCCAGTTGTATTATAATGTGCACAGATGAATCCGAGTTTCCGGTTTTGGTATAATTTTAACACTTTGTTGATGGTTGAATGTGTAGATAGACAGTTGATAGTAGGTTGTTACGTATGGAGATAATTAGGTTCCCCATGTGGGTTTCAGGGTCCCATGATGGTGGACAAGAATAAACCCACTGCTCGCTTGTTGTAAAAGGTGACTAATTAAGGGTTTGCTGAAGAAATCAGATGTGCTGGGCCAAAAGGCACATATATCTCAGCCTAGCTGTAAACCACAACTCAGCAGCCCGACTGTCCTTTTAAGGGTGAATCCAGAAGAAGTAGGTAACTAGATAGATAGATTTGATTAGGCAAGTTACTGTTCATTGAAGTTGATAAGGGAAGATATTGAAGTTGATAAGGGAAGATATTGAAGTTGATTAGGGAAGATATTGAAGTTGATTAGGGAAGATATTGAAGTTGATTAGGCGAGATATTGAAGTTGATTAGGCGAGATACTGTTCACTGAAGCCTAGATTGATAGTTACTTGACATCTCCTGACCAGTCTTCACTAGTAACACTGTCCAACTTTCCTGGAAGTCAGCTACTACAGATTAGTATTATGTCACCAAAACTAAAAAGTGGGTCAGCCAGATTTCTTGTTTGAAGGTAATTCTTATGAATCCACTCTAAAGATCTCTATGGCAGAGCACTAGCAGCGTCGCCTACTGCTGTGAATGTCCTACCAAAAGGCCATACAAGCACAAACTCCATAGCTCCAGCAACAATTTCCATAAAAATTGCACCTTTTAATTGACAGTCCAAAAAAAAAAGCCAGTGATCATCAGAACTTGAAGTAAACCACACAGACTCTCTGATTGGGGTGTAAAAGGTAGAGAAAAGAAGACTACGGTTGCATGATCTGGACCTTCAGAATGTTAGAGACAATCTTTTGTGTCTGCAAATGTCTAGGGTATGTCATGTCAGACCATTCACTGGGAAGTTTAATTTCAGCTCCAACTT